AAAGTATCTTACGTGTGTTTTACACGTTTCGATTTCTGTTGATCAATGCTAATAATTGATTAATAATTGTGAGCAAATTGAACGTAGTGTAAACATTTCATCTTATGTAAAATATTATTTATCAACATTTAGATGAAATAGTGTTTATATTGTTTAATCTGTTTTTAATTGTCAACCGACCGGTCAAAATCCAAAAATTTCATCAGTTGATCAATAAAAAATGTGTAAACGCTCTTTTTTAAGTCACAACTTAAATCAATTCATCAAATGTTTACATTGACGTAAAAGATATATACTATATATGACACTTTTGATAACGATGTCCACCTACTGATGTCCGCGCGCGTCTCTCGCAAGTCACTTGTATATGCTTGCGTATGTAATGCACGCGTTTTGCTGATGTTGCAACGTGATGTGCGACATGTTCGCGATCGCGCCTGTAGACGCAGCGGGGCTGACGCGACGTAGCTCCGCGTGTTCCTCCTCGTTTGTAGGTGTGCGGCGTCGGTGGATGCCGTGTACACGGCGAATAGTATAGGATCAATATAAGCGATGACACAGCGAGAGCTCATCTTTAAGCCACGCCCACAAGCGCATCGCGAACGAATAAGGACGCGCGACTGGCCGGGCGCGGCCAATCGGCGCAGCGTATTGATTTTTCGCGCCTTTTTCTCTTTTTTTTTCTCTTGCGAAAGTGAGTTTCTTCGCGAAGCGGCTGACGAGGTGGCACGGTGCGGGTGGTAGAATGAAGGAAAGAACGCAGGCAAAGGCTTAAGGGACGTACGTCGGAGAATAAAGAAAACACGATAAGGAAAAGACTGCGAAAAGATAAAGACAGAAGAATACAGCAGCGATGAGGTGGATGAGGGAAACTACGCGGAGATACTTGGAGGATGGAAAGAGAAAGAGCGTGCTCGCGCGCGCGGAGACGGAGAGAAGGAGGATGAGGATCGATGAGGATGGGGGTGACTCTCCTATACAGGGGGTAAACGAACCTCCATTTCATCTACCCTTCGCGCCGTTATCGGCTGTTCCTTTTTTCAATCGAGAAAGCTCCCTGCTGCTAGGGACATAGACTCGAAATGTCCCGTGAGCTCATTTTCGCGTATCTTGACAGCCGAAATACTCACAATCGTTGTTTACCATTATTCAAAATACATCTTTATTGTAGTAGATAGATAGATATTCTTTTGTTCGTAATTAACTAAAAAAAAACCTGCAAAATTATTACTATATTTTAAAATTTATATTTAAAAAAATTAACATACTATATATATCTCATACAAAAATTTTAATTTTCTAATTCAGAATTTCCTTAAAAAATACATGTAAATGTATGTGATTGTGAAAAATACATGCAGTATTTTTTTTCTTATCTTTTCTGGTCCTCAGTTTGTAGAAAATCTGAATGCTACTGCCATCTTATCAAAAGTATCTCAACTGACTATATTTCAATTAAATCTTGTATACCGACATGTAAGAAGTATATCTGTGTATGTGAATGAAGTAGATGTAGCACAGATTCAAACCGAGTGACATTTGTATCGTCTACGTCTAAAAGTAGCTCCGTAGTTCTACTTTTGTAGATGTATGGCGCTGAAAACAATGGCATAGAACGTCATAAGAAAATACATATAATGGAATAGCCACTCTCAGGCTTCTCTTTGATAAAAATTAGCTATTTACAATTTGATGTATTAATTAATCAGTTACTTTTAGTTAATATTTTTTATAATGTGTTTCTTTCATACTATTTTCAAAAAATTTAACACATTTGTATTATTACAGCATAAATAGTATAATATGGCAGAGGAGTTCGTCAACGGGGGCGTAGCTCAGATGGTAGAGCGCTCGCTTAGCATGCGAGAGGTACCGGGATCGATACCCGGCGCCTCCAAGTATTATTTTTTGTCTATTTTTTTTTCAAATAATTACTATACTATAAGAATAGGCGTACACATTATTAAAATAAATAAATATTATAAAATATTTTGCTTTAAATATTTAATTTTAAAAAGTAAAAATAGTTTTTTAGTTTTTTCTCTCACAATTTTAGTAGTATTTTTGTTGAAACATCTTCTTAAATTAATATTATGGAACACTTAAAAACTATAAATATTTGAGACATGAATTATACAGATTTAAATATACAATTACATTATACATACGTATATACATGTATGTAGTATAAATATATTTCAGTAGTCGTTACAAAACCAACAATCTTCAGTTTTCAAAATGTTTGAGTTATATATGTATATAAATTTTTTATATAATATACAAAATATGTTAAGTTTTCTAAGATAGTCGTGAGTTGCACGGGGGCGCCGTGGCTTAGTTGGTTAAAGCGCCTGTCTAGTAAACAGGAGATCGAGGGTTCGAATCCCTCCGGGGCCTTAAACAGCGCGTTATTGTGCGCAAGTTTGTTATTTTTCTTTTCTTTGCTATTTTTCTTTTGTATTTATATAAAAATTAATACACATATACAGTGTTTAAATATTTTAAAAAGTAATTGTGTGCAAATATTTGCAATATTGAGAACAAATAAAAAAAATAATAGACATAACATTAGAAGGTTAACATTTGTTCACATATTGCATAGAGATCAAGTGTTTTATACACAAAATAATGTAATGTTCTACTAACTTTTTGTTTCTACTAATATAAGGTTTTTCAAGCGTGGAAAAAACGTGACCATGAGAGTGATTGTCATTGTCAAGCCTTCTTGTAAAAGAGAAGGTGGAGGACAATTTTAATATCTTTTCATAGAAATATATTACGTATCAGCTCTAAATATATGTATGTATGTGTGTTAAATATTGCACAAATGTTATGCTTTTGTGTTGAATATTTACGTTTTATAATTAAATCCTCATTTGTCAGCATACATTAGTTTTACAAGCATATATAATATATATACACGAGTTGAAACAAAATAAAGACAATTTAAACAATATCTTCAAAATATAAATATTGTTTTTTAATCATTTCTCTCTCACAACAATTGTCTTTCTTTTTAAACTTGCTTTCGAGGCATAAGTAGAAAAAGAAAGAGATGTACACAGTGCACAATAAAAAAGAAATCCTAAGTGTTGTATGTTCCAAACTAAAAATTTGAAAGTGACATAAGATGCTGCATTTTCTTTTACTTTCTATTTGAGTTTGCTCTTTGACTTTCTATTTATATTATCTATATATTATCAAAAAGTAATTGGTATTTGTTAAACAATTTCATTTTGTATATTAATTACACTTAATATTTGTTAATCTTTTATTTTATATAAATATATCAAGATAGACACATGTGTTATAAACTTTTATTTCATTTCTTTTTATACATAGAAACTTATACGAACACGTGAGAATGCTCGCAAATTAACAAAGAACACGATATTTTTTATATTTCAAGAATATATAATAACAAGATTAAGTTTGGACACAACATTGTATATTTATTATATAAAATCTTATATATAAGAATTAACATAACGTATATAATATTGTAATATCTAGAGCTAAATACTTGCTAAATGTAAGTAATATATTAGTTTTTGATAAGAAAAAAAATACAAGCGGGCTCGTCCGGGATTTGAACCCGGGACCTCTCGCACCCTAAGCGAGAATCATACCCCTAGACCAACGAGCCACAACGGCAATCGGATACTCTTATAATGAAGGTCAACTTGTGTGTGTATGTGTGTGTAAGAAAAGAGAATTCTTGGAAACTACTTGACATTATTTACGCAATTCAAAGACTCATTACTATCTTTGCAATCACAATTTATGCAGTTAACACACATATGCATATACATATACACATACGTTTACACGTATTTATAAGCACTCTCTAACCAAAGTTTTCTTTTTTTTCATTTGTAATCACTATGTACTAAAGATGACTCAAACCTGAAGGTCAAAACGTACACATTTTATAATTAATTTTTTTAATTTACACCTTAACATTGATGTTCGGTTGTTTATAGTCAATTACACATCTATTTTAATTTTTTTAAACTTTTTAATAATAAACTATAAAATTTATGAGAATACTACAGCAAATAAACAGCATGACAGATGACAAAAAATAACAACAAAGAACTTTATATGATCGAGAGATAAAACTTGATGGAGATATCATACTGATAAATAAACATTTAAAAATGATACACATTCCGAGAGATATGAGTGTAAAAATAATATACACATTGTCAGATATAACAGAAAATCAAAAACCTTATCGCTTACGTGAATATAGAGATTCTCTCTTCACAAACAATATCATTCACTCTAGATACTTGAAAGTTTCAATTTCTTTGTTGATTTTAAGATCGATTCCGTCATTGTAACCATGTGGGAAGGTCAAAATGAAAAAAGTTTTCAAGTGGCTCGTTGGTCTAGGGGTATGATTCTCGCTTCGGGTGCGAGAGGTCCCGGGTTCAAATCCCGGACGAGCCCGTAAATAGTATTTTTACACTTTTTAACGTTCGTTTTTTTTGTTTTCTGTTAAGAAGTAAGATATTTATTTATTTCACGCTATCATTTTAAATGACATGTGATGCAGAAAAACTTATTGTTAGTATCCAATAATTATGAGAAATGATTTAACTTGAAATATAATTTTTTTTTTTATTTATTTATATTGTACGTTTTGTGATATCAATTGTGTTTGCTACATCTCACTGTTCTAAACAGGTCACTAAAAGTATAACAAAAATATTATTATTTAGTATGTAATAAATTTATTATCCGAAGTATAAATTAATAATAAGAAACAATGTTGAAGTTGACACACTAGCATACATTCTAGCAAAAAGAAACAAGTTAGCTTGCGCAATGATGATAATTAAAAGAACAACATTGTTTTCTTATGAATCTTCGATTTAGATTTTAATTAGAGAGAAACGTTAATTGATAGTAAATGCACTTCTTTAATAAAAAAAATTACTTCCGTGTCTGTTTTGGGCCAATATTTCGTATGATTGCGGAGAAAGCAGGTGAAAGTCTTCTGTGTAGCGGTATTTAACGTTAGCAGACAGTATCCAACCTAAAACATTTCCGAATAGTCCGTCGCTCGGTTCAAATCGTGTAGGATTTGTTAATTAAATTTCAAATCTCGCGTATCAAAGTGTGTTCCATTCGATAGTCACAGCAAATTACGAGTTCCTGAATGAAAGATTGCAGCTGGACGATGATGTTTATGAAAGTTGTGCTAACAAAGTGAAATTTTACGCGTTACGCCGCACATAGACCGCAAAGGTACGAGATAAAACTGACTCGCGCGCGTATAAGATGAAGTAATGTTTCTAACAAAAAAAAAACAAAACAAAAACAAATATTATGTAAGATTTTTGTAAGTACGAAAATATGACTGAACAGTTCATTAAAGCATCTGCTAAAATATAATCATTTTAACTGTTTAGAAACTCTTGTGAAATAAAAAGTTAATGTAAGATCTGTTAACAGCGCGTAACTTCTTTGAGAAATAGATCACTAATTAGTAGATAACAAGTACTAAAACAATATTGAAATAAGAAAAACCTAAACTAAACTAAAACAATAATGAAATTAGATACTCAAGGTCGTAAACTATTCTGCTATAATTCTTAACAACTGCGAAGCGAGCGGAATGTTGACAATAATCATAAAATTTGTATTTTACGTTTTAGCAGAATTCTGCTATTAAAGCACTAGATATATAAATGTACGTGGATGCTGTTTTTCTGTTTCAGTCTTAGGAAAAACAGTCAGTCTGACTTTCCTTTTCAGTGCTTCTCTGTTGAAAATTTCAATTTTTCAAACAAATTTGTTTAACTCTCAGTTGTATCTTCAATTTGAAAAAAAAACATGGATACGGCAGAATTTGTGGAATTTGCCAAAGCATCGATCGATTTTGTTGCAAATTACCTCGAGACTTTGAGAGACAGAAACGTATTGCCTAATGTACAGCCGGGTTATCTCAGTAAGTTATTGCCGGAGGAAGCGCCGCAAAAATCCGAAAAGTGGCAGGAAGTCCTGAAGGATGTGGAGCGATACATTATACCTGGAGTATGTATTTACGTATACAGCTTAAAAAGCGCTTACTAAGTGAAAACATTATAATATGCGAGTTTTGTTGCACTATTCTTTCTATTTTATAATTTTTATACAAAAAATAAAAAATAAAAAAACTCTATGTTAAAGATGACACATTGGAATTCGCCACATTTTCACGCGTACTTCCCTACGGCTAATTCTTATCCTGGAATCGTCGCTGAAATGATGAGTAGCGCGTTTAGTTGTATAGGTATGTAAATTTTATTATTAAGAATGAGAAATTTTGTCGATGTTTAATAATGATAACAACCACGTTATTTTCTTATTCTTAAATTTAAATTAAACAGGATTTTCTTGGACCTCGTCTCCAGTTTGTACCGAACTTGAAGTTCTTATGTGCAACTGGCTTTGCAAATTATTGGATCTTCCCGACAAATTTTTATTTACCAACGATGGAACAGGTGGAGGAATCATACAGGTGATTTACACACTCATTACACGCGCGACCATTGATTGATGAAGCTATTGCGTAGTTTGTTTATTTATTTGTTTTAGGGATCTGCAAGTGAATGTACTTTAGTGTGTATACTGGCTGCGAAAGACTACACAATGCGTCGTATAAAAACTCTTAATCCAGAAATGGACGAGAATACTATTAAGTCTAAATTGGTGGCATATACTTCCAGTAATTCTTCTATTTTCTTTTCCAAAAAAAACTTTGAAAATTTTTCATCTTACATTATCTATCAATTTTTATATTGTAAACTGTTTATTTTCGTTTTACTATATCATTTATTACATATGTGCGTGTGTGTATTTGATAATATATCTAGAATTTTTTCATCAATATCTTCTTTCTCAACTTTTAGTTCAGTCAAATTGTTCGGTGGAAAAGGCCGCTTCTTTGGGTTCTGTGCAAATAAGATTGTTGCCGGTGGACGACAAACATTCTTTACTCGGAGCAACATTGAGAAAAGCTGTGGAAGAGGATTTGGCAAAAGGTCTTATTCCTTGTTGCGTCATCGCTACCTTAGGAACTACCGGCACATGTGGATTCGACAAGCTCGACGAGATTGGTCCTGTCTGTGAAGAATACGACATATGGCTGCATATTGACGCTGCTTACGCAGGTCTGTGAAATGCACTATAATATATTACGTTTATCTCATATTTTATAAAAATGTTACGTTAGTATTTTTGTTTTGTTAAATCGTTATATTTAGATACATGTAAAGATTACTGACAGAGAGAGAAAGAGAAAGAGACTTAATTGTGTTTTATATATCATTATGATAAAATAACATTTAATGTAATTAATTGATAGGTGCAGCATTTCTTTGCCCTGAATATCGTTATTTAATGTCCGGTATTGAGTATGCAGATTCTTTTAATGTAAACGCTCACAAATGGCTGCTAGTAAATTTCGATGCTTCCGTAATGTGGTAAGTATATATATATATATATATTAAATATGTGTATAAAAGTAAAATCCATTTACAAATAAAACGTACAATATTATATCAATAATAAATACAAGCTCATTGCTTAAGATCAGTTTTATTATTTTTATTATTTTTTTATTTGTTACTCTTTTAGGGTAAAAGATACGAAACGACTCACTGATGCATTTAGTATAGAGAGAATCTATCTTCCTCACAGTAACGCAGAGCTACCTGATTACAGAGTAAGCTTTTTTCCATAGAACAAATATTATATGTTTTTCTTAATCGATTTTTTGTAGTGTAATTTTTTTATATTTTTGTGTGTTCTCCAATTTTCCTTTCGCGAATATTTTATACAGAATTGGCAGATTCACTTGGGCAGACGTTTTCGTTCGTTAAAATTGTGGTTTGTCTTTCGGATTTACGGACAGGAAGGACTTCAAAATCATATTCGGCAACAAATAAAATTGGCAAAGCTCTTTGAAGAATATGTTTTGTCGGACGCCAGATTTGAAGTAGTAACCAAAGCTTTTATGGCTCTTGTGTGTTTCCGTGTCAAGGTAAGATTTCTATGTATATATAATTATGTAAATATACATAATATACATATGTGTGTAAATTGTCAAAAATGTTTCTTTTTTTTTAGGGCGATGACAGTTTAACAAAGAAACTCTTTGATCGTCTACAGGCCAGAAAACGTATCTACGTTGTTGCTAGCACGTATCAAGATAAGTATGTCATCAGATTTGTCATTTGCAGTCGATTGTGTCGGGAAGACGACGTAGCCTTCGCATGGAACGAAATAAGCAGTCAGGCAACAGAATTATTGCAAGAGGAACATTATAAGACCTCAGTCGAGAATATTGCAAAAGTGACAGACGATAATGTAAAAGTGTCAAATATCGCCAATGAGCATAATATCGCACCTGCATTTCTCAGTTCAGAATACTTGCACGAAACGTTTGCAAAAGAGCTAAGTAGTCGACACATATAGGATAACTCCGGTACGTTGAGAAAGTCAGAAAAAATAAAAAAAGTATAGAAGTTATTTGCGCGCAACTATTTTGTTACGTGCTTTTATCTTGTGTTTATGATTTCAGCTTTTTGTTGTTAATATTAATGAAACTATCGTAATTTAAATCGATTCGTCAATGTGACACCTGATTTCGTCTGCGCAATTCGAGGCAATAACCAGATCTTTGGGTCAATAAACTTCTTTATTTTTGTATAGTTTTTAACAAGCGTTTCGACCCTCAGTTTGGGTCTTCTTCAGTGTAAGGAAGATTCGTAGGTGTAGGAAGAACTCGGTCTATCAGTCGCGTATCGCCGTCAACCACACGCGAAACAAAATCTCGATGATAACGACTCGAAAAGCGTGAAAAACAAGATTTAGTAGTTGTTTCATAATACATAAGTGTAGAGCGATAAGTAAAGATAATTAAAAAATATATATATTCTTGATAAAGCAGTGTTTGCGTCTAAACAAAGACACGTGCGCAGACAAATGTTGCGAACCTGACTTGCTTAGATAATCAATAAAGTACAAATTCATAATTTATATATTTTCGTTTCTGTAAAAATAAACAAAATATATAAAAGCAGCAAGAACAAATTTTTATAATGCATAAGGAAACTTCTTACGATATCCTTGTGCAAATTCTACAGTATAAATAATAGTTAATAAGTTATTCATAGATAATTAATAAGTATATAAATTGATAATAAACAATATTTCATTGAATGTCAATAAATATGTAAAAAAAATATAATATTTGAAAACACTATATTATTATCTGCTTCATCCGCCTTCACGTTATTATCTTTTTTTCTCTTCTCTTTCGGATTTGTCGATATGAAGAAATTTCGACATTCTCACTTCGATTATCAAAACTCGGAACGCGATAAACGATACAACAATAGACAGTCATAAAGATCGAAGTTCTTTGTTTGTGATTTTGACATGTCTTTCTCGTAACACAACCTATTTCTTTCCGACTGAAGTTTTCCAAAAAATTAAATGTTATTTATTTTTTTTTTTTATACAAAATTTTTTAGTTTTAACAGTTTACATCCAATGAAATGCTCCTTTCGAAGTCCAGGTTCCTATCCTGGAGACCGCAAGAATACGTTCGATCTCTTGCAAGGTATCAATACGTCACATTAAAAATAATGTATTTTCTGAAAAAAAAAAAAAAACTAGAGTTTTGCGAAAAACCGCGTTAGATAAATAATATTTATTTGAAATATTGCAGATTATTCTCAGACGCAAAATGCGACGCGAGAAGAGATTTGGCGGAATGTACAAAACGCGCAAAATTCGAAATATGTCAGCTGAATCCCTGTATGAGAGATCCATGCAAACCAGAGCCGAATATTGTTATCGTAGGCGCTGGTATGGCTGGATTGTCAGCCGCACATCGATTGGTTCAATGTGGCTTTCAGAATTTTACAGTTTTAGAGGCAACGGATAGGTACACGATACAAAATGAGACAACTTGCAAACGAACATGGCAAATGTACTTAATTTCTCAGACCGGGTGGTCGAATCCATTCGTGCTGGTTGGGCGATGTCGTAACGGAAATGGGAGCCACGTGGATCGAAGGTGGCAGCGTGGCAAATCCGGTGTTCAATTTGGCGGCGCAGGAAGGTCTGCTGAAAGCACCGCTTGTTCGTCCGGATCCGAGCCGGGGTCTCTTCTGCACTAGCGACGGCAGGGCTATCGATATGTCGGTCAGCATTATGGCATATCACACGTTCCGACAGATCGAGCAGCAGGCGGCCGCGCTCTTCACTCTCGGTTGCGGCCGTACCCACGGTACGTTGCTGAATTTTATGGCCGTCCGAATTCAACAGGAGCTGCACAACTTCCCGGAGGAGCAACGGTACAGTTGCCCAGGTCAACTGCAAGCCTTGTCAGTAGCGGTGTAAGGAAGTTGCTTGCGCGGAAGTGCTTCGCTGTCTGTTGATTAGAAAGAACATGGTCCAGAGAGTCACAGTCCATTTAATGTTTCGAATAAAAAAATTTATTACCGAGCAAAATAATGTTTATTTTGAGTAACAAGAATATTGTTCAACAGAGATGTGTATTTTACTCAAAATAAATATTATTATTTTGAGCTAGTAATCAATTTCTGTAAGGGTGTTTTCCAATATATCAACTACGTGTATAAAAATCTGCTTCTCAAGCACACTCGGCCACCTAAATTGTCATTACATTGTCCATACGTAAATTAGTTATCGCAAATAATTGCCGTTACATCGCTGCGCTAATTATAAATCCGATTGTGTTACTCTTATATAATTTGAGGTGACAATGCGGGTAGCTTGTCGATTGCAGATATGATGCCGCAAGGGTGATGTACGGCATGACGAATTGTGTGAGATGTCGATGCGGAGACGATCTCTCGCTCGTCTCGGCTAATCAATTCGGCAGTTATATCGATATCCCCGGCGGCAATATTAGGGTACCCTTAGGATACGTGGGAGTTCTCGCGCCTCTGCTTCGAGATCTGCCTAGTAATTGCGTCAGGTTCGTATAAAGGATTTGCGACGAAAATATGACGTACATGTATTTTTTTTTTTTTTTTTTTGGTGAAGAAAAGTGTCTTTGAATTGTCAAACTTTCGAAATCATTAGGTAAACAAAGTGAGAGAAATTTTAGTTTCTCTCATTTACCAGAGTAAACGCTATTAATTCAAGTGTGTTTGAATTCCCTTCTCAAGATATTGCAAACCGATCAGCATCATCCGATGGGGCGCAGCGAACGACGCTTGTCCACGCGCTGTCGTCAAGTGTTGCGACGGCGAGGAGTTTCCCGCCGATTACGTAATCGTCACCGTTTCGCTTGGCGTTCTCAAGCATCAGCACTCGAAGTTGTTCTGTCCCGGATTGCCCGCCGAGAAAGTCGAGGCGATCAACCGGCTCGGTTACGGGCACGTTAACAAGATCTTCCTGGAATACGCGCGACCCTTTTGGGTTTGGAAGGAAGGCTGCATCAAGCTGGCTTGGTCCGCCGAAGAGTTGGCGGACAGATGCGATTGGGTGAAAGGTCGTTGTCTATTTTGCTCCTATTGTATAATCAACAACATCGACGTTAACATTTTTTATTTAAAACAATGTTTCAACGCAACTGTATCGATCATTTCTACCTCTTGTTAAAATTATTTTGACTGTAATTTTTTTACTCGACAATTAGGCGTTGCACATGTGGAGGAATTGCCAAACTCTCAGCACGTGCTATGCGCCTGGGTGTGCGGACGCGAAGCGGCGGACATGGAATTTTGTTCCGACGAGGAGGTGGTGGAGTCGTTGACGACGATTCTCCGTCGGTTCACCGGTGATCCCACCTTGCCTTATCCAGCCAACGTTCTCAGGAGCAAGTGGTGCATGGATCAATACTTCGCCGGGGCCTACAGTTACATGGCGATGGACAGCACGGTTGGCCATCAGTGTGACCTGGCAAATCCATTGCCAGGTATGTATTTTCGTCTAATCTATAGATTATTCATCTCTGATCAAATGAACACATCTGAGAATATTGGACTCGGGTCTTGAAATTTATACTAAAAAAAAAAAAAAAAACAAATCTTTTATCACACACTATGCGTTGTTAACAATCTCTCGATTTTTTTTCAGCTACTTTCTTTCTTGTTTTATGCAAGTAGATAATCTATTTGTGCAATATCACTTTCTATAGGCACATGCGAATCGATGCCTCCCATACTTTTGTTCGCGGGAGAAGCCACAATACCGGGACACTACAGCACGGTGCATGGTGCGAGGCTCAGTGGCATCCGCGAGGCGGAAAGAATAATTCGATTAACGAAACGATACAACGGGCCGCCGAGAAAATCATCAGTGAAATCGTGATCCATGAAAATGCATTGTGTGAAGAAAAATTTACGTGTCTATGCATATCGCTACGATATCGAATGTGCAAACTTGTAAATCATGTGCTTTGTATATAAATTATAATTGTCTTTATATGTAACACGTGAGTTTGTTTGGGTTATCACTCCGAGAAATGTGCGCGCGACGTATCGATCATCTCATATCTAACGCGTGATATCACGCGTGGATTTTTCAAAGATTATACTTCTGCAACGTAAGTTATTTATTCTTTTACTTGTCATTTCTTTTACAGAAATACTATCTCGCTACTATTTCTTGACGTCATCAATTACTACTGGAAGGACGAAAGTACGGTAAAGTACGACATCGAAGTTTGTACGATCTTCAAGAACAAAATAAGAACGAACGATTCTTAAATGACTCGTAAAAAAAAAGATTCTCGACATATGATATCACATTCATCCTCTTCTTACCGTAGTGAAACTCTTCAAGGAAAACACATAGATCTTGCCAGCGGTCAGAACATTCGGCTGAAGACTCTTTCTCATCACTTGTAAGAGCAATTTTTGTGATTTCACCGGTATATTGTACCAAGTGCAGTTATATCTGAAATTTTGTGCAAAAACGATTGACATTTTATCAATTCTCTTTTTTTTTTTTTTTTTTTTTTTTTTTTTTATTTCTATCAGATCCCCATTAACTTAATCGATCTGGCAACTCGGCGGAAGTGATCGATTGATCTGGTCGAATCGACCGATCACAACTGAGATCAACAACGATCCGCAGTTGTGATAAAATCGATCCTTCGACCTTTTAAACGTAATCTAATACATCGTTCGTAATTAAAAATTATTCTCTTACACCTTGTCGCGCATTTCCATGCTGTGATCTATCAGTCTCTGGCCTTGCACACTGAAGCAGAATAAATGGATCAGTTGACCAATGATAAACGCAACGTATCTCGCGGCTTCCATAACATCATTGCTTTGCATTGCGATCTACGCGAGCAAATGACATGACATTTTAATTTTCTCGCGAATCTTTCGTTAATAATAATTACAAACATATTAGCAACAATACGTACAGTTTGTCACGTTCTTAAAATACATACGTACTTGCAGCAAAGTAATACTCATCCCTAAACAAACTATCGCTATTTGTAAGACAAACGTTATATTAAAGGTATCTTCAAGAAGATCCGCGAATCTGTGGAAAAATTCTCGCTATAAAAATTCTCCGATTTTTCAAATCAAACGACGAGGCCAATAAGAGCAGACAATTTTATTGTGTTTTTTTTTTATCGACCAATTGCGCTCATCGAAGAGAGATAATCTGATTTTGAAAAACTGTTGACTCTATTGTGAGTTTATCTCTCTTACATTAAGTGTTTCCCAGCGATATATATCAACGGTTCTTTTTTTTTCATTTGTTATACTTGCAAGTATAATTTTTTATTTAAACGCAAATTTAAGTAGAAATTTTTATTTAAACACATTTACATCCACGTACTGTAAAGCTCGCCAGTGCGCGTGCATGGAAACTCCTATTCTCCGATTGTAAATTTTACTCGAACTGTTGCTTCTTACATCGATATTTTTGTCGATTTTGTTGTCGTGCAAGTTCTCAAAGCGAAATCTGCACATATACATTTAACATTTACACCGCGTTATTTCCATTTAATCACTGACAAAATGCGTGTAAAATTTTGACATTGAGTTATCAAATAAACAATGTATCATCCGTCAATTCACGCTTATTTGCAATTACAGTTTGCAAGATTTTTCTTGCAGTAATTTATTATTGACACGGCCAAAATAAATGAGTATTAAAATTTCTGTTGAACAATTCTCACCCGGCCACGGCAAAGACGCTGCACGTGTGCTCGATGTAAGTTATGAGCATGCAATCGTGCGCGAGCACTCCCGTTATACCCACTTCCACACTCACAAAACTGTGAATGAGAATATGAAAGAAATACTCGTTGTCGTCGACGAAGTAATGCGCCTCGTAAGGCAGTATCAGCGGGCGCGATTCATTTAGAGGTATCACGATATCTAACAAACGCGGTGTAACAGAGATCCATACAAACAGACCACAAGCCGTGTAACAATAGACTACAACAAACAAAACAATTATTTATGATAAAAAGAAAGATACAGAGAAATTAATTAAATACAGGTTTGATGAATTAAGTCTAATAATAATTTTTAAATAACAAAGAGGAAAAGGGCAATAGAAGCTATTTTACTCGAAAAGCTCGCAGTGTGTGATTGATTATTGTTATAAAATCTCACATACGTTTCGAGACCTCAAAATTAAGTTCTTTTCCAATTCGTACAAAAAAACTCGAAAAGAAAAAAAACATCAGTCTTCATAAAAGAAACAAGAGAATATTGAGCAGTTTATCCTTACACGAATATATCAAAGAGATCTGTCTGCCGTTCGCGGCGTACTTCGTCATAATATCGAACTCTTCCCGTGTTCTTAATTGTTTCCAGTCGTCAGTCAGTTGATCTGTGAGGTTTCTAATCTAAAAGTAATTTTGCGGTAAGAAAAATTCGATCGAACGTGGCCCAAACGAAAAAATCTCGGAAGAGTAAAAGATTGTTCATCTCGAATACGGAACAATCAACGTGTGACAAACGTTTTCACATCGTAGCTTACCTTGTTACTGTTGAATTGGCACGTGTACAGCTTTAACAGAATCATATTTGTCAACAGAAACGATGGCGTAGTTCCTAAAATACATTGCACGTCTTTGTCGCAGTAAATTAATTTGCACACCTAGAAACATCATTACTAGCAGATCGATAAAAATTGTTGCGCCAATTGTGTTCCATTTGAATCGAACTTTTGTTTTTTCGTGCGTTTCATTTATTTAATTTATTTATCGAGATATATAAAACGCGCAACCTGTGGAACGATGAGAGACAACGTGACCGACGTGATCAAAGTCACTCCGAACACCTTCGCTCTTCTTTTCTGATAAGGCCATTGGCCGGATATCGATAGCATCTTCCTCGTAATACCGTAATAATAATTTCGAGCGGACTCCATGGTATCTTCGGAGAGTTGCTTCGCTCTCGACATCATGCGAACGACTACAATTTCCCTCCACCATTTCGTTCTTTGTCGCACAAAGAATTGCGTATTTTTTAACACGGGGATCTTTGACATAACGACTACCTAAGCCGTTTACAATTAAAAGCGACAGCCTATTGATATCATAGCATTTCCATTCTGCCGCTAAATAATGCAAGATGAATATAAATGACAAGCTGTCATTAAAGACGACATCTCTCTCGTAGCGAAACGTGTATCGATTAGAACTGGAACGTCAAAGAAAATAAGATCTGGCCAAGGTCGTGCATTAACACTGTAATTGTAGTGTGTTACGCGAAGGGCTTCCAACGTGTGACGTACGCACGTGTCCATGAACTCTATTATTATTTTGCTCAAATATTCAGTTCGAACGACAATACGTCGTTATCTTCCTTTCTTTTTGTTTAAAAGTATACAATCACATAAAAACAAAGTTGCAAGAGATGTGCGTTATAAAAAATTGCAATTTCTCTGTAAGCAACCGTGTAAAATCAAATGGCATTTTGTCTCAAGTGTTGTAAAAGATAATAAACAAAAATATTTCGATTCCGATAAAAAAAAACAATTTTGAAGAATTGAATTTAGCGCTAATTAATATTTCTTACTACGTAATCAAATTTATAGTTCGCTGTTTTCGGAAATAGCACGTGCGATAATGAGTTGTCATTTCCTTTTCTCAGAAGGAAAAACATTGTTTTTTTTCTTTCAGCCAGTCAGGTGTTGATGTGCTCAGATTTTGAGGAAGTTAAAGAACTAAAATCAAATTGTTCTAATCAACATAAATTAGCGCTAATTCAATGGTGAAAAACCCGTGACTTCATTTATTTCTGAAAATGATTTTCGGGATGAAACCGCGTTAGTGTCTTTTGTGAAAGCGTCAATTATTAAATAATTTCATTTAGATCACGCGTTCGAGAACGTTTCCTTTTCACAGATTTATTCTTCAGATTTTAAACGATGATTTAATTCAGAATAATATAGCTTTTAATGATTTGGTGTGTTTTCGAAGAAGAGAATTTGAAAAATCATCCGATTTCACGGTTGTAACTGCAGATTAGATAAACGTCGCGCGCTTGCGTCACAAAGTATCGATAGTATCGCGCATGTTATGTTGTATCGCTGCATCATCGTAATGGCGATTTTAACCGTTGGCGAGCAAAATGCGAGACGACGAGGTCTCGAAATGCTGCCATCGTTTGTCTGACGACTTTGCGTGCGCCTCGCGATTGGTCGTTGAGACGTCAGCTGACTCAGCAAAGTATCGTCCGAACAATATACGTTCATGAGTAGCGATTGTGGCGAGACCAGCGACCACTTGTTGCTCTCTGGGCTTTGCTTTGATATCTTTTTTAGATTTTAGTACATTTGTCTCTAAGTATATCTTCATCAATTACATCTGTCAATCGCAAACATGAGCACTCCGTAAGTATATTTTGCGCAACAGCGTGAAACAATAAATTTATTTCAAGGTTTACTTGCGTACAAAGTTCATAATGTTCGGATGAATAAAACGTTGAAAAGAAATAGAACTATTGTTATTGAATAAACGAAGAGATATTTACATGTTGAGTTTATTTTAGTTTATTGTAAACTATTGCTGCAATTATAGAATATGCTTTGTGTGAGAGAGAGAAAGAGAGAGAAAAGTGTTCATGCTTGTGTGTAGTAAATATTTTACATTTTGTTGTTTAAAATGACATTTAAATGACGTTGTAATATATGGGAAAATACGCGAATTATTTTTAAGTAATATACATACTTTGTTTTTATATTCTACAGGGTAGCAGATATCGCCCTCATCGGGTTGGCAGTCATGGGACAGAATTTAATTCTGAACATGAATGATCATGGATTTGTTGTATGCGCGTACAATCGCACCACGGACAAAGTTAAATCGTTTCTCGAGAATGAAGCTAAAGGTACAAAAATAATTGGTGCTTATAGCTTGAAGGAGATGGTCAGTACACTGAAGAGTCCGAGAAAAGTAATGATGTTAGTTAAAGGTACACTATCTTTTTATTATCATGATTGAACATCCACTGAACTATGTTCACATTGTATTAATATGGGTGATACACTTTAGCTGGTTCAGCTGTGGATGCATTCATTGAGCAACTGGTGCCTCTTCTCTCTCCTGGAGACATTATCATTGACGGTGGCAACTCTGAGTATCAAGATACCGAGAGACGCACGAAAGACTTGGAGCAAAAAGGAATTCTTTTTGTGGGTACTGGTGTTAGTGGAGGAGAAGATGGTGCAAGATATGGGCCATCCTTGATGCCAGGTGGCAATCCCAAGGCGTGGCCGCATATTAAACCTATTTTCCAGGTATGATAATGTTATATATTCTTCTCCAGTATTTTATGTTAGGTTAGCCTATTATTTGTTTGTAAACAAGTCTGTGAGATCTCATTTATACCACTGTACATTTATTTATTTTGTTAACAAGAAATAAGGAAATGGCAATAACAAGCTAACACCAGATGTTCGGGTACAATTCTTTTATAATTCGAAGATTAAAAAAAATTTTTAACTAACGTTTCGATCCACTATGGGATCTTCTTCAGTGTTTTAATAAAAACTTACAAAAAAATAATGTTAAAAACTTTCTTGTTTATCTCGGGCAAGTTTGAACCTATGTGCAGGATGTTGTGCAAATAATTTTAAATCAATGTGATTAATCCAAACGTTTCGGTTTATTCTATTCAAACCATCTTCAGTGGAATACTTTATTTGAACAATCCCTCCTGAATTTTCATAGACGAAGTGTAAATTAAAATTAAAATTGTCGTTGTCAAAGTTTTAAAATTAGAAAGTCATTGTATGTGTGTATGTCAAGCTTTGTCACTGAACAAAAAAATAATGATCTATTCAAGATCATGAAGAATATGGATAAGAAAAAAGATACGCTACATAGATATTCAGTATGAGAAAAAGAGAGACGGAAATGGCAGTCACCGTCAGTATTACGCAACAGGACGCAAAACGTCCTCCCGCTTCGAATGTAACTGACAGATTATTATTTATTTTGTAGTCGATAGCAGCAAAAGCTGACGGAGAGCCATGTTGCGACTGGGTCGGCGAGACTGGCGCTGGGCACTTCGTCAAGATGGTGCATAACGGCATTGAGTATGGCGACATGCAGATCATCTGCGAGGCGTATCACTTGATGCGCAGCGGCCTTCAGCTCACGCAGGGCGAGATGAGCAAGGTATTTGATGAATGGAACAACAATGTTCTCGAATCTTTCCTGATTGAGATTACGCGCGATATACTCAAGTACAAGGACGAGAAAGGTTACTTGCTCGAGCGTATCAGAGACACAGCAGGCCAGAAAGGCACTGGCAAATGGACAGCAATCGCAGCGCTAGATTACGGCGTGCCGGTCACGCTAATCGGCGAATCGGTGTTCTCGAGATGTCTGTCCGCGCTGAAGAATGAGCGCGTGGAAGCTAGCGCAGTGCTGACGGGTCCGGATTCAGTATACAAAGGCGATAAGAAAAAGTTTTTAGAACACTTGCGAAACGCTCTGTACGTCGCAAAAATTATTTCGTACGCGCAAGGCTTCATGTTGCTCAGAGAAGCTGCCAAGGTCCACAATTGGAATCTAAATTATGGTGGAATAGCATTGATGTGGCGAGGTGGATGTATTATAAGAAGGTAATTACAGCTAGTTACATACAGTTTTTCGTAACTTGCGCGACTTTTAAACGCATCACTAAGTCGGTGTCACGTCAATGCAACTTTTATTTATTTATTTTTTTTTAAGTAAATGACAAGAAAAAATGTGTCAAGGACTTAGAATGAACAAGAACGTCTTAAATATGTGCAAGTTTACAAAGTAGTTTGCATTTTATCTTTAAATATTCTTTTCAGCTCATTTTTGGGAAATATAAAAGCAGCGTATGACAAAAATCCAAAATTGTCCAACTTATTGTTGGACAATTTCTTTGCTCGTGTTATGAACGAATATCACACGAGTGCCAGGGTGGTTGTGAGTGCCGCTGTAACAATGGGTATACCAACTCCCGCTTTGTCAACGGCTCTGGCATTTTACGATGGATTCAGAACTGGTCGATTGCCGGCGAACTTGCTGCAGGCCCAGCGCGATTATTTCGGGGCTCATACTTACGAATTGCTTGGTCAGGAAGGAAAGTTCATTCATACCAACTGGACCGGACACGGTGGAAAAGTATCCGCTTCTACGTATGATGCATAAAAGTTGTTGGGAACATACTATTATTCCGGATGACAAACAATTAAATGATATACAAGAAAGATATCGTAGAATAACAAATAATTTTTAAGAGATTACTCGGAATCGTTTGTATGTATCATACCTGGTGTTACAAGCGGTGTGATTAAAAAACAAGTGTGAAAAAAGGTTATGTTAGATCTGACGTAGTTTACAAAAATAGCGTTTTAGTCGCAGGTTGAGTCGGGAGGATTAATAACGTCACAAAAATCAAGCGACATGAGTGGTCGAATTGCCGAACTGACGTCATTGATCTCTGTCGGAGCGATTTGACCGATTGAAAACTATAAGTCTAAAACTACCAACTGCTCGTTTGGTCGATACAACAGACTCTTCCAGTACTCTCTTAAGAATTCACCTGGATTCTTGAAAATTGCCGAGCTACGTCTCAAACAAACTTTAGCAATATTTAAATGAGCAGTAACATTTGACGTAATCGAAGTTGAGCAAGTTTACATAGTAATGTCAGTTGACATATGTGAGACAATTTAACGAATAGATTGTGTGTAAATATCGTTACTGATGGATACGAAATATTGTTAACGATGTGTTGATTACATCGTATATAGATTTTAATATCTCAGATTCTTTTTCACACATACATTCTTGCTTAATATATTTTTATAAACTACTTGAAAACTTTTAGAAACATGTTGAAAAATTATAAATATGTACATACAACTGTTAAGTGCAACGTGTATGGATTGTTATCTAAAAAAAAAAAAAAAAAAACAAGTGGAAAGGAATGAATATAAAAGAATCTCCTACGTAAAAACAACTACGCATACTGAATTTTTATTTGACTTGAGTTGTTTCAGAGATCTACTTCGAGTTACAATTTTATGCGTGTGAGCACGCGCGCGCGCGTGACGACGCACGTTCCATGCAGGTAGATATTTCGAGCAACTCCTCGATTTGGAAGCAGAAGTTATATAATCAGAGAGATGCCGCGTAGAGCGGCACTATGACTTTTAGGCGAGCGGTCGCGCGGTAACATTTGCAGATTAATTCCGTTTCTTGTTGTTTCTTTTTACTTTCAAAAAAATGATAATAAAATTGTCGCTCGTGATAGGTAGCGAATCTTTCGCGACGCTTGGAAACGTCGTTGAAATTGACGTTAATAATGCAGGAAACTGAAAATTGCAAGAAAGCTAGTAAATCAGTGAAACGCCAGATTACGGCAAACCCGTCATTACTGTATTTCTCTTTCTCTGGCAAGCGCACAAAGATATTGGAGCATGACACTTTCAATTGCGCCGACGCTCCGCACTTGCGAAACCGAGAGACTCGGAAGTTAATTCCGCAATCCAGTTTTTTTTTTTTTTTTTTTTTATGTGCGCTCTCTGCTGTAACGCGATTTCAAATGGCAAAGAAATTCATGGCTTCTAAACTTATTATTGGATTACGTACTTTTAGAACATTTGATTGCAGTTCGAGAAGCGATGAATATATATATCGATGAGAACACACAAACTACTTGATAAATTATTAATTCTTTCTTTCAGATATAATCGGAGTTTCATCACCGGTTATTTTAATAACGCTGTTCGACCTCGAGCTTTCTTCGTCGATCGTGTTTTTATCATAGTTTGTTTTTTTTTAAAGGAATGTGTTTATTTTCAGCCACACTATATTTTTCCAACACGTTGTCGGTTTCTTTTACAACACACACATGCGCACATATATGTATATAAGAACTTACATGTAATTCATTATTTATAACTTGGTACTGTAATCTAAACAAATGTAAAATTCCTAGATTTTATAAAGCATCTAAAAATTGAAGAAAGAGGGAAAATCAATTGCATTATTATTTTGGTGTGTGCACACACATAACAGTTTCTTAGGAAAACAAAAAAAAAAAAGTACATCACTACAAAGTTGCGCACATATTGCTGCGAAAGTAGTTTAATAGCATTTTAATCGCTATATAAATTAAATTAAAAAAATATTTTACCTCGATCAGGTGCAATCTCGTTGATTGCTCGTCTCGATCGTTTTTGCATTCTTTACCTGTTCTATTCACAAGAAGTAAAAAAAACGTAGAATCTGAGCAAAAAGACTCGAGTCATCCGGTCACATTAAATGTCAGATGCAAATATACATCAGGCCCGCAGGTCTATTTATTTCACCTGCCGTTTTGTTGCGCGATTTTCTCTTCTTTTCTCTTTTTTTTGATTCTACCGTCGATCCCCGATTTTATTTCAAGTACAGGATCTACGATTTAAAAAAAAAAAACAAAAAGACACGCAGCGCAATATTAAAAAGAAGAGAACAGTCTTGATGCGCGTTGTTGCAAAAAATTGTTGAACATGAAAGGGAGAGAGAGCACGGGAGTTCCTTCCTGGGGCCGCAGACTCTGAACCGTAGACGATTGTGGTCGTTGAATGTCGATAGACGGTTCGCGGTAGCGCTCGCGGAGCGCTCGCGTTTCAGTTGAGCAAAATGGCTGACTATAAAGAACGAGATTCATATTATTCCCAGACTGATCTGCGCTCGAAAAATGATGATCCGCCGAATTCACGATTATTCGTTATCTGCCACAAGAGTCTGGAGGAGGACGACCTCAGGAAAGCGTTCGAGAAGTTCGGCAAAATCGAAGACATTTGGGTGGTCAAAGACCGCAACACGGGTGAAAATAAAGGTAATAATATCTCTCTAGCGCGAATGAAAATTTAATAACCGATAAGTGAAAACTATAGAAACATTAAAATACATTACGCTCCTTGCTTGACGCATCGTACGATCTTGTTCTTAATCCTGGGATTTCCTCCGTCGTTTCTCTCGGCTTTTGTTGTGTGTGTCATCAGTAAATGTACCGATATTGCCGAATTGTACTTCTGATATTGTTGTATTTGATAATCTGTCATGTCAATTTAAAGGCGTTACGTACATCAAATTCTCCAAAACGTCAGAGGCAGCTTTTGCACTGGAAGAGATGAATGGCAAGATGCTGGGTTCCGTTGGTAGACCTATCAAAGTAATGATCGCCTCCAAGTGAGTCTCCAAGCTCTGTTGCGCATTCGATCTGTTCTGTCAACTTTGTATTTGATATTTTACAATTGATATTGATTTGACATTTCACAGCCGGGATCAAGGTTCGGTACGCGAGACAAATGAGGAAGAGAGGTGGGTTCGTTTGTTCTGTGTATTGCCAAAATCAATGACTGACAGTGAGCTGCAACAGGAATTCTCAAAATTCGGTCCAATTGAGTACGTAACTGTGGTGAAAGATCGCCTTACGAACGAGTCGAAGGGTTTTGGTTATGTGAAGTTTAAAAAGGTGTCCAGTGCGGCACGTGCATTTGAAGAATGCGACAGAAAGTACAAAGCGGTATTTGCAGAACCAAAGAGGCCAAAACCCGATCACAACGATGTGAAGTATAACAACGGCCTCTCCGCAGCGTACAGTGACAGTGGACCTTCTTACATCTCGTCAAACTTCAACAAGAGTAGCATTAGTTTGGAAATTGCAGCAAATTATCCCAATCCCGATGGTTACACGCGTCTGCAGGTGATTGCACATCCGGTATTGAATCAGGATCAACTGTGGAAGTTGTTTGATATAGTGCCCGGTATGGACTATTGCCACTTGAAGCCAGATACGAGATACAGAATGCCGTACAGAGGTCAGGCTGTGGTCGTGTACAATAATCCAAGCGCAGCAGCGTACGCGCGCGAAAAATTTCACGGTTTTGAATATCCACCTGGTCATCGGATGATTGTTAAGCCTGATTTGACAAGCGCGCCACCGAAAAACATGTTAAAACCCAGCGGCTCAACGGTCGGCAATGTTGCCAATGCGAAAACAGACTTGGCACATCTCGCGGAAACTATTGCTCAAGCTACCTCGTTAATTCAAGCTGCGGGATTGACAGCACCGAGTGAGTAAATCCAACAGTTTCGCGTCAAAAACAAAATAATATATGTGTGTGAAGCGTTGTTTGCGTTTCTCATTCCAGGTTTAGATCACTTGTGCGTCAACCACAAGTTACCACCGGTGCAACCAATGGCAAGTATTGACGCCGAAGTGGCCAAGAGGTGTTTCATTGTGTGCGGGCCGCCGGTGCCGCCTATTCACGCAATGAAAGACGCATTTTGTAGATTTGGAAATCTCATAGACGTATATATGTTACCTGGAAAGAATTGCGGTTACGCGAAATATGCCACAGAGTCCAGCGCAAACGAGGCCATTGAGGTATCGTCATTTTGTTTCTCTTAATTTATTACTAGGAATGCATATCCAAGACATGGTCCCTCCTCTCTCGTAAGATCTGTAATATATCTTTTAAATTATACAAAAATATGATCTTAGGTCTTACACGGACAAGAAATTTGTGGTTCTCGGTTAAAAGTGTTAGAGGCGGAAGAACGAAATGAGGATCGTCGAAAGCGGCTTCGTATGGACGAAGATGAAAATTAGACGAGTTTGATAAGAATGCGTATATCGTAAGTAGTAGACGAGAGTAGTGCAGTGCGTAGGAAAAGAGAGGCGTTTCTTTGTGATAGTAGTAATACACCCTCCCGACGTTGTTACTCTCTCTCTACCTCATCATCCTCCTTCACCTCCTCCTCGGGCAGGGGGAGAAAACGGCAGGTGAAAATGTAATTTTTGCTGTTTATCTTCACAGACTGACTGGTACACACAAGCCGGACGCACGCAACAAAAAGAGACGAATTTAAAGACTACTCACTTGACCACGTCAAGGGCCTGCATCCAGGGATAACTGCTCCAACTACCTACCTATATATATTTAACTGTTTGTTTTACGTTCGCGCAACTTTAACTACATTACTGAAACGTTGAACTACTACTTTACTACTTTTTGTCCTTACATGTTCGTTGAAACATTCGTTCATACACAATTACATTTGCGCGCGCAAACGTCCCGTATTTCTATTACTTTAAGAGGCCTGTGCGAACGGTTGAACGATTGATAGTTTTTTTTTTTTTTTTGCTGTGCGAAGAAGCGTGTAGACCGCGAAAACATCCTTTTCCGAGTGCATTTTTTATTCCCTCTAAATAGGACTTTGCAAGAATCCGGGAAAAAACAAACCGCGCCTTTATCTTGACGTATGAGGCGTATCAGTCTACATCCCGAATCAATCCTTGCAAGATTAGATTAGATTTTTTTTTTTAAATCTAAGTTTTATTTTTTTCATTTAGGGCTAAGTATTCATTTCTTGTAGAATAAAGACTGATTTGCATACAGACGTTCCGTATCCGTGCTGTATCCAGGTCGGAGCTACAAAAAACTAGTTATTCTTCAAGAAATTGAGTTAAAAGGCCGATCCGAGCAGTAAAATACAAGTTGGTCGTGTATCACAAAAAGTCTTTATTAAATAACACAGACGTTTCGGTCACTTGTTTGGACCTTCTTCAGTGTATACAAATGTGATTTGAAAAAGATAACACGCGAGCAGACAGCATCCAAAACAGTCAATACACATATGTACACAGTGTCCTGTGCTGACTGTTTTGGATGCTGTCTGCTCGCGTGTTATCTTTTTCAAATCACATTTGTATACACTGAAGAAGGTCCAAACAAGTGACCGAAACGTCTGTGTTATTTAATAAAGACTTTTTGTGATACACGACCAAATTGTATTTTACTTGCTCGGATCGGCCTTTCAACTCAATTTCTTGACAATTTCACGAGCGAATTAATGATTAGTTATTCTTCCTTTTTACGGAAATTTACTACTAATGAAATAAATTTCTATGAGGATTTAACAGACGTAACAAAGTTAACAAGTTTCTACAAGAATGACAGTAACAAATGTGACAGTTCACGCATTGAATTTTATGGTATGAAAACTGTATATAAATCGGTCTTAAAATATTTGTCTTTTTTACTACGCTTGTGTGTATAACACACACACAATCAATAAGACAATTTCAAATACAAGATCAGACTATGAATACGACCACTGAAGTGTTTATGATAATAAACGACAACTCTCATCATGAGTTTTCGATGTCTATTTAAAATTTGATTAAATCGCGAAATTAATAAAGTTGAAATTTTGTAAGTATGAAAACCGATATAGTACTTAGCATGTAAAGTATATTATCGGTTGTAATCGCTCAATTGTAACAAAATTACAATATATATGTATGTATATTTTCTGTAATGTGTACATACAGTTTTATTTTATATGTACAAAGCGAAGAAAGAAAACGCAATTGAAAAATAGAATTCAATGTTTTGGTCGTAGAAGTAAGATCGAGTATGATGCTGTTAATATTATCTGTTCGCACAAGCTTTTAATAAACCTGTGCCTTAGATTTAGAGAGCAGGGAGACATTTTATTTACAATCAAACTTGTGTACTTTTCTTTTAGTTACATTGCGTGCACAGAGAGAAAACAAAAAATTAAACAAATTACTTGTACTTTATACTACACTTTCAACAACATCTTGAAGATAAGTTTCAAATGAATGACGTGATTGTGGAGAATTTCAAAACAAGGTATATCCTTTAAGTAACATATAAAAACGAAACCAGTACAAACATTTATTGCCGTGCATAATTGTTGCAGAAAGTGCTGTAAAATGTATGTATACCCGCATCAAATCAAACTCTAGTTTTTAATAAGAAGAAGTCACATCGCGTACGTTGTAATGTCACATTATGTCTCGTACATACATGTCATGTTTATCAAAATATATATTTTATTTTCTTGATATTTCATAATAATAAAAATTATGAAACGCTTATATGAATTTTACATCTTTTACACAAGATATGATCGCTTGAATTTTTAACAATAAGACTTCAACGAATTTCGCTGCATGCGTTCCATGTGTACGTGCTTACAAAAAGCAAACATATTAAAATTACTTTTTATAAAATATATATTTATATAAAAAATTTATATGCATACTTATATAAATATAATATTTAACAAAACTAAGTTTATCGAAAAAATTATTGTTTCCTAATTTTACAATATATAGCTAAGAAATTTTTAATACGACAAAGAAAGAGTACAATATGAGATGTTACCAGGATTAAAATGGTTTTTTAAGTAATGTATGGGTATATCTTGTTTTGGAAATAATTAATGTACTATATATGAGTAAATGAGAAGAACATACACACACATACTTACACACACACATATACACCGGCATAAATATGATATTGTTTAAATAGTTAGGAAGAAAGGAGCAATACAAACTTGCCTTCCCGGTAATAGAAGTGAAAGACGATTTCCCGGTAAAAAAAAAAAGAAAAAAACGACATATACTTGATATCCACCATCTCGAAAACTCGCTATACACCTAGTGATTGACGCACAAACGTGAACATTTTACCCGTTTTATAATGGATACACAATTTTGTATCATCGTGCGTTAAACACACACTGTATTGACTGTACCGAATGATGTTTCCGGAGACTGTAACTGTGACTTGTTCTTCTGGTGATATCAAATACATAAAAAAAAAAAAATACACAATAAACCTCAACAACAATTTTTTCACTTTATTATTTTTCTACTCATTACATTTATAGGAATATTGTGGGATTTTATACGTTTTTTCCTCTTATAATTTTCATCGCTCTGTAATGGTCTAACGTGCGTTCTTCTTGTTTTCAGAATTCGCGAGGATCTCGTGTGTGAAGCGCCGTACCTGAAGACTGTGATATTATTTTTATAACAACGTAAGATTTATTATATAACAGATATATATTTCTACATTATTGTACATACATAAAACAATAAGTTTTACGAAGAAATATATTAAATTATATACTTTTACAACAGCTCCCGAGTGTGCATTATTTGCGCCCGAAAATTTATAAAAGATGCAAAGGATCATTTCTCACTTTTCTTCCCCTTAATAAAATTGCGATCTTGTTATACATGTAGAAATACAAAATGTTATACATGTAAAAATGTAATTTAATGTCACGTATACAAAATGTAATATATACATATGTATAAAAAAACAATTATTATATAAATTATATATATATTTATCTCGTGATGTGAGAGAGATTTATTTTTTTAATACTCTATTACATGCAACTACGCAAAGCGTGTGTGTGTATCAACTTATGGAAATATCCTGCTGATGACTTGAAGAGTCATTCTAAGAAATTCGGAATCGTATAGAAGGATTAAAAGCAGGGTCGCAACACGCGTTACATACATTTCTGATTTGATCGCGCGCCGATTGCGACAGCGCGAATGGAGCAAAGTGGTGGGAACGGAGCGTACTCACGTGTCTTCAAACGTGCGCCGACTTTACAACAGTTCGGTCCGTAGCAGCTACAATTGTGATTCAGTACGATTTAGTCCGCGCGGAAATCATTGTCGCAAAGTGCCGTGTCTCAATATACATACTTGATTTATCAATGTAAATCTGTTTTTTTTTATTCTATCGATTTCGTTCAGTCTCGCGAAAAAACTTAATAAATAAAATGAGATGAAACGGAAGTGCGTGTGCGCGGTGAGAGAAAGAGAGGACGATTAAAAACGCGCGATTTTTTTCTCTGGAGATAAGTGATCGAAAAATTAAGATAAAACGAACAATGGAGGAAGTGTCCGTGGAGAATGCCAAAATATCGGACTCGGGATACTCCAATACGTGCAGTAACAGTCAGTCACAGCGCAGGTGAGTGTGCGACTCTCTATGTTTTTATTTATTTTTTTTTTTTTACTGAACTGGGGAGAATTCAAAACAATCGCGGGCACGTAGTAGATAATTATGAAATATATGATAATAATTATGGAAAAATGTGTATAATTTGGTTTTTTTTTTAATTGTTTGGACTGTTATGTATTTTTGATTGGTATCGCGCACATTTTGATTTTCTCGCGACATTATTGCGATCGTTTCTTTTCTCTAACCGTGGTTTTAAATCGTGTTTTTTCTCTAACAAGTGTATAGTTTTCTGCACATGTTGCAAATATGCGATGGAATTTTTTTCATAGTCGGCATACTTCAAATACGTACATTGCCGAATACACGTGGCTTCGCTTTTATTTTAAACTTTATTAGCTTATGTTTATCTGTTTACGCGCTACCTTTACAATAAAACTGATTTATTTTCAAGAGATATCGACATTGTGCAAATATATGAATAAATTAAAACGCGAGAAACTCACAGGATCAAGTTTCTATATATTACTTTTCTTATGACAATATATCATAATTATTAACATTTACTAGAAAATTTTATACTGCAATTTAGTATAAATGTATAATTGTGTTAAATTTTTTGAGTTTGCAAACCAAAAAAATTCAAATTATTTTGATTTTTGTCAACAATCGTGTTGTTATTGACGGGTTTTTATTTATAATTAGATACTGTGCGCACATATACATACATTTTTCTCATTTACTGAAACTTTTTGACACAATCAGTGTGAAGATAGATTGGATCAATTTGAACAGAAAACTGATATATAGTTTTGCAAAATTTGCAGTAGGTAATTAAGATAGGGTAATTAATTAAATATGAGCTAATGAGCGCGTGGGAACCGATGATCTGCAAGCGTATACAAAACCACGTGATTTTGAGAAAATCAATAAATCAATATCAGCTGATAAGGGGGAAGACGTGCCACACGTAGCTCGCTACATTAATCCGCTTCTCATTGTTAGGAAACTGTATGCGAGAAATAAACAATCTCTTTCTTTGAACTTGAAAATCACATGATTTCATTTTATACGCGCGCCTACGGAGTCCAGCTTCTCACGCGCTCATTGGATCATATTAATTAATTAACTTGATAAATATTGCAAATTTTTTAAAAAGTTTTAGTTGCACTTTATATAAATAAATTTTAGCATAGCGGCAATTATATCAGTGAAAAGAAGATAAAATAGCGCAATTACAATCAGCTGACTATTTTTGTTTCTTTCTTCGCGAGCACAATGCGACCACTGTTCATTGTGTTCTCTTTCTGTAGTATCTAAATTACTTGTGTTCGCTTGCGGAAGAACAAATACGTAACAAATACCAGATTTGTCCGCAATGGGTTATTTATTACTCAAAATATATTTGTGTTCTTTTTCTATCGTTTTGTTTTTTTTTAGAAATTTTGATACCGACGAAATGCAAAATTTCGCAACACAGACGTTATATTTTGTCAGTATCAAAATTTCTAAAACAAAAAAAACAAAACGATAGAAAAAGAACACAAATATATTTTGAGTGATAAATAACGGACAAATCTGGCATTTATTACGTACTTGTTCTTCCACAAGCGAACACTAGTAATTAGATACTACAGAGAGAGAACACAATGAACAGTGATCGCATTGTGCTCGCGAAAGAAAAGGAACAAAAATTGCTCGCACTGATGTAAGGAAAAATGCTATGTGGCACACATGTTCCAAAAGGTGAAAGGATTAAGCTATTATTAATTGGCTGTAAATTACTATTCGCATAAGTTCGCAAATTGCGCATAGACTGCAATTGACTAAACTTTCTATTCAAAACGCAGCTCTTTGGATTAATCGTTGCGTGCTTATATAATAGAACTTTCGTCGGTTTTAACATTGTTCTGGCTTCTCTACGTGACTTGTACGTAGAAAAGTTGCTAATGTCCTGTGTAATTATTGTGCCACTCCTCGTGCATCACTCAGGTGGGCACGAGTGAAACAAGCAACTTTGTTCAGAAGTCCCAAGTTGTTGAGCGATTTTAAAAAGTGTTTATTTTCTCTACGAGATGTAATCACACACAAACATCTCTACAAAAAATATGATTGACATCCGTTTTCGACAAATTGTACCGCTAGAATAATTGACGCTTTGTATACAAAGCGTATATCTTTGTATACAAATTATTCTTAGCGCTTTGTATATTAAACAAATAATACACAATGTCCATTTCCACAATTATTTTAATTTAATTATTTTTCGAACTCACGTCTATCCCCTCGGGATACTTGGCAATGACACGCTTTTGTTAAACGCGACGGCGAGAGGCGAGTGAATAACGCGCGAGAGAAAGGGAGAGAAAGAGAGACAGAAACTCGTACATGGTTCGGTTAAGGCTAACCGGTTTCCCAGTGTGTGCCAGTTGCATTTTCCATGTCTAGTTAACGCGGTTAGGAACATTACGAAATCTCCAACTCGCGGAAACAGGTCAACTTCAAAAGAGGCGTTGATCAATTCGCAATCACTGTTCGCGCGCTACCTTTCGTACACGTGACAGCGCAACGCAACTGCGCAGCGCGCGAAAAACTACTAATTCCAGCCAAGAGACCCCCACATCGATATTCTTATAAATTACAAAATTATCGATAGAACTGTTTTTTCACTTCACAATCAAATATCGGCACACGATAAAACGAATACGAATCGATAAAGACACGGTGAATCAGATATCTTTTTATGTTAAATGTTTGTATTTTGATCTACAAAAATTAAAATTCAAATATTCCGATTAGAGTTTTGTATCCTTGACCCGATGCCCATTATAAAACTCGTGACTGTATTTTGATATCTATGCGCGGTCGCATGAGTATTCATTTCTCGTTGTAATATATTGGTCGATGACTATGTTATATTATATAATCTGGTGATGATATACGCGAAGATATACCGGGAAGATGGGCGGGCGAATATAATGTAACGCACACAGCTAACTCCGAGATAATTGTCTGAAAATATCGTGGGCGACGTAAATCGATTTCAAAACCGCATTGTGTCCACGAGATTGTACACGATCGCACGTGCGCCTAACATAAACAAATTGCCTTTGCCGATTGTCGCACACAAGATGCCGTAACGTGATTTTACTCGGAAACATATCTATTTTCGGACAAATAGTTTGCAGAGTTTTTATAGCGAGGAATATATTAGCATCTCTGTGTAATCTCGAAATACGCGTGTAATTATTACACCCGCCGGTTTGTAAGAAGCATAGTCAAAAGCACAGTGAAGTTATTTTATGATACATGGAATTTGTTTGTCATGGAAATTTTTTAGCTTGTGTCTCAAATATATAATAGAAATTTAATTATATTCGAATCTCAGAAAAGACAGAAGACAATTTTCTTAATTTTCAATAATTTTGAAACAGGTTATTTTAGTTTCACTTTTTTTTTTGTGACATTACCGAGCACACATCGAGCTACATTAGATTCTAGTCACCACAAATTATTCACGTTATTTTGCATAACGCCGCGCCGTCGCAATCCAGGCCAATTTAATTCGCTCCGGTTGAAAACAAGCGGGCCACGATTTTTCATTTTCTCGCGTTCCGGATAGAAGTCTCGAGCATAAAACCAGCGAAAGGAATCGATAGGTAAACGCCGTGGTCGTCGTCATCGTCCTCGCTTATAGTCACGAGGCCTCGAACGTGAAGCGGCGTGCCTTCTTATGCAAGTCGAATTTTTCCGCCGAACAAATGAGGCCGGTCGGCCGCGACGGCCTGCAAATAATAAGGACAGTGAAAGGCCCGCGAGAGACTGAGAGTAAACTCGCTAGAGAGAGAGAGAGACAGGCCTTGTATAAGGGCCGAACGTGTCACGTTTGCCGAACATGTGATCGCGGGCCTTTTTTCATCCGCGACCGTTTGTTGCGATTCGAGTCGCGTGACTTTCCCGATCGACCGCGGCCGCGTTGCGGGATTAAGTGTGTCGCGATTTTGCACGTTGCGCGCGTGTTGCACGTTTTGACCTCGTTTTATTTTGTTTATCAAAAATGCGTCATCGTCTAAATAAAATTCCGACGCGTCAGCGGAAACGCCAAAGTCTGATCAAAGTTTGACCAGACGCGTGCAGTAGTTCCATCGAGTTTTACGTCGGACAAGTCCCGAAAAGTAGCCCAAAGTAAACCGTGTTAATAAATACTCGTACAGCTTAAAATAATTATTACGTTATTTGACGCAATGCAAAAGAAGAGCAGATTTAGACCAATGTATATTTATAGTCAAATCTTACGTTCAAGATCGTCTTGAGTTTATCTCAAGATGCTGTATGGACCGTCTCGTTGTCTATAGAACATCTGTCACCTCAAGACGAAAACACATGAGTTTGACTACGAATGCCGGTCTCAGATATCATTTTAAATAAGTGTTTCTGATTTTCATCGATCTTTTTGTTGCAGTAGCGGCAGCTCGATCTCGAGGAACAGCAATCGCTCCGAAAGCAGCGGCTATTGTGATAGACGTCCTTCGACTTTCGGATCCAGGCAAGTCCCATTTTCGTAAAGTAACGACAATTGAACTTTTGTTTGTTATAATTTTGTAAATCTTACTGCAATTAATGGTAATTGAGTTTCGAAAAATTTACATTCTGTTTTTCAAAATAATTACAACACACACAATAGACGTGATAAAAAAATCTGTGAGAGAACACATTAAATTACATACATTTTAATAATCTTTTAGCTGTTAGATTCTGAACAAAAATGTTTTAATTGTATATAATTCTTTTGAAAGAAAAAAGATTTCAAAGATGAGCACATTTGAGGAGCGTAATCCTTTAAGGTTCTTCGATATCTCGCGACACCATCTTTGATTATGACCGCGAGATACATCGAAGAGCCTCAATTTTTACAGAAGTACTAAATATACGATTGTCGCTTTGTTATTAATAGCGTGATCAAACAGAGCTTGCAAACATGCAGAATTATTTCGCGGAAAGGGTTGGCTATTTGAGTCGGTGCACGTGCACGTTTGTTATTGTTGAATAATTAGCCGACCAACCACTTAGCCGCAATAGGTACACGCATTGCAAATAGCCAAGTGTATTTTGAAACTGATTTCCAGAAACTGACATTTGCGTTGGAAGATTTTGTTTTTCAGCGATGACGATAGATGCGTTCGTTTTTGATGGCAAACTAAAAAAAAACTAACAAAAGCTACTGCGAACAAAAGAGTGTCTTTTAAATCGCGCGATAACAATTTCGAAACGTCCTTTGTAAAATTTGCAAGTGATACTCCTTATGTGAATTTGTGTCACATAGAACAAGTATAAATGGTGTTGCTTCTTTGTTGGTTTTTGACGGATTGTTTACCACAGTTTGTTACCGCGATGAACGTAACTTGAAGCAGAAAGAGAGAGAGAGAGAGAGAGTTGCGTTGTAGCAGCTGATCTAGATTTTAATAATCGGATCGTTTATGTCACTGAAAGACAAAGTCCTTGGCGCCGTTTCGTAATGGCAGTTTCCTCGTCGCGCTCAAGGAAATACAATGCGCTTCTAAGGAAAACTGTCTTCCGCATCGAGACGCTAATATTTTCTCAACAAATTAATCAGAAATTAGCTACGTTATTAAATAGATGAGAAAACAGCCAAGAGTTTGTTCGGCAAAAATTTAAAATATATCATGATTATTATTTTTGAACTACAGACTAGTCTGAATTTGGTTCAGTTTAAATTATAATCAATATAAATAACAATTAGTTTTTGTTTAGTAAAATCTCAAAAATTGTAATTCTAAAACATATGATTTAGAACTAGAATTTAGAACTCAATGTTCTGATAAATCTCGCGCCGAGCGTAGAGAGTATTCAGAAGCGTTTTGTTAAGTAATCTCGCGGACAAAAATCCGATTCTCACAATGACTTTATTCAACAAGAATTCTCTTCTCGCGTTAAACGATTGCGCGAATAAATGCGCTGACAGCTTCCTCGGCAAAGACGACGTTCGTTAAGCAGTATATGTATATTTTTTCAAGCTCATGCATCACACCACCGTGTAACGTTGCGTGTGTGAAACTGAAGTAGTTAAAGTCGATTACGAGTAGGCTTGTATATATATATACACACACGCGGCATCGTAAACAGCGCGCACATGTCGCGCCACGTGCCGCCGCACCGAAGTCAGATTCTCCCGCTCATTGTTGCGCAATGAACATATAAACGAAGCGCAATTACAATATCTCAAATATCGATGTTGAAAATCAAGATGTCGATCGAGCGACGTTAATCTATATAATTTAACTCTACATGCAGGACCTGCGTAAGATCTCGCTGATAAGATTTTTTTCTCGAAAAATAACAAAGTATTAAATATCTACTTCAAACACAATTAAAACATCTCGTGGACGTATCTCGCGTTGCCTTGAGATTATTTGTCATTTTCTTTTTTTTTTATTTAACGCGAGATGTGAAATATTCATGTTCCGATCGCCATGAACTCATTTAGTTAATAGAGTAATATTAGAAAGAGAGAGAGAGAGAGAGAGAGAGAGAGAGAGTCGCGTTGTGTAGCTTCCGCGTGCATCTGACAGATGCATTGATTCAGCAGTTCTCAACAGACTCTCTTCGACACATTTCTGTATATGAAACTTCCATATTTAATTCAGAGATCTGATCTGTTTAAATTTATAATGTGTGTCGTGTGTCTTACATATATTACAAATACATACAATGTGAACATATATTACTTATAAAACAATATTTTTAACACACACAAGTTGCTTTCTTACATGCACACACACAGTAGTTAAATTTAACGTGACTGCGTCTCAGTCAGTTAAACTAATTAAACAATCACAATCAGAATCGTTAGATAACGATTCGAGCAACGCTGTGTGACTGAAATAATTTCATTTTTTTCTGGATATCTTGTTCTATTGTAGCGAGTTATGCGCGTTTCGTATTGTCTAAATTCTAAAAGCGGTTTGGTAATCGCCGGTTGCGTCTGTGCGATAAGAAAACCAGACGAAGTCCGCGATTACACGCGAGGATTATAACGTCGCGGGGGTTATTTTTCACTTATTGTCACCGGAGTGCGTGCGTGTGTGTGTGTGTGTGTGTGTGTGTGTGTGTGTGTGTGTGTGTGTAACAATGACGCGAGAACTAAAACAGGGAAGAACATTTGCAAAGCAAATGCGTCAGAATTACGTGATCTGTTATCGTGCGGATCCTACAAGAAGAATTGAATGTCTCTCTGTTGCTTCAATAAAAAAAAAAAAAATACCCACAAAACAGGCCTATATGTTATATAACAGATAATAACATAACAAAAAAGATGTTACAATAAAAAAATACCTGAGTACTTTATTACAATTTTTGTTTCGTCTAAACAAACCAAAAATTCATTAGAAATGCGAAACTTGCCATTTTCAGACTTTGTCGTTTTCTATAGGATATAGAAAACATCTGAACACAGAGAATTAAAATAACAAATTAAAAAGTTTGCAAACTGTATAACTAAATATCTTACAATATCTCTTAGAATGATGCAACGGTTTGATATTTACGCGCGACAAAAGTTTGGTTACGAAGACTTTCGGTGAAAGCTCTAGCGAAAGATCAATGGTTATAGACGTAGATGCAAACTTTCTCTAGCTTGTATAATGCAACGGTCACGTTTTAATAGATGTGTTACATCAAGAGCTCTTAAAAAAAAAGCTTTCCGGGAGAAAGTCTTTGTATCGATCATAGTGAATGGCATTTGTATAACGTGAGAATGCAGAAAGCTTTTCTCTTTCAAACGCCTTCGTCGAACGAGGATAAATTTCCTGGAAATACACGTGATTTTTTAATAATCAATTATTAATGACGTTATCTCGAATGTTGCAATTGAGTATTAAATTGACGCACGAAGAGAGCATTGTTATGATGTTTACCCGCTCTTCAATTGAAATTATTTTTCTCGGATTTATTTTTAAAACGCGCGTATTTGTTCTCTCATTATCACTCGTTACAGACAACTTCCTGTCACATGACGCGACACGCGGATATTCTCAATTTGCGCTCATAATTGCGATCGTACGATGTTTTTGAATAGATTTTTGAACTCCGAATATAATCAGAAAAATGTTCTACGTAAAAATCTGTTACGTTGGATTAAGTTTAATTATGATTAATTATAGATATTGCATTGTGTATTTATGCAAGACGTGCACTTTGTGACCAATTCTTACTTAACAATTTGTCACTGTCTTTTAAGATTGCGTACAAAAACTTAGAGATTACTGGAAAAAAAATTACAACACAATGCATTTTATAGAACATATATATATTGTGCATTTAATATAATATCTTCTACGTGGCGTCTCTGTCGATGTAGCAATGAGGCGTTACCGCAGCCGATTAGCAAGAGAAAGGACAAGGAACACAAGAAGAAGAAGTCGAAAGCGGTGTCGGCGCTTAACACCGCCGACGCGGAAGTCGGTCTGAAGACGGTGAACGCGCTGCCGGAAGCGGCGTCCTATAACAACGTCGCGCCGGCGAACGTCACACTTGACAAGAAACCAGGTTGGTTACGGATCTGCAAAGTGTCGGGAATGAGTGCACGCGCAAACTGTCCACTCGCATCTTTACATAATTAAAAAAAAAAAAAAAAATCGCGAAATACAGCGAAATACACTTTTGAACAAAACAATATTATACAAGCGTGTGAATACAGAATAAAATTCGCGACGGTTTTTTTCTTCGGAATATAATTTTGCAAAGTCAGTCTCAACACAAGATGTAAATTTAAATAATTTCCTTCAACCAAATTTATTGATACGTAAAAAAAAAAAGATTGAGATGAAAGATTTTATCGCAACAATTATTATCTATTTATAATAAGTTTTTGCTTTCATTTATGTGTTTGCAAGTTGAATCCGTTTCGTTCAAACTCTCGACAGAGTATAAATTCCGCGTACATATTTTTCCACGTGCGTGGGAATTGCGAACAATCGACGAGACAGAATCGCTCTTGTAAGAGGACGCTGTAGAAGCTGAAACGAAACGCGAGCAGCAGCAGATTTTTTATAATAAACATCTATTGCCACCTGTTGAATCAGATCTCAGCGAAGTTTGATGTCAATACTGTGTGTAACGAGAACTTATCGTTATTCCGACAAACTCGTTTCGTGCACTCCTTCCCGTTCGCTTCGGGTTTTGTCTATTTTCCTGAGAGACTTCTAACTTCCCTCACATTATCTCTTAGTCCGGCAAGTGTCATATCGATTTTTTTCCTCGTCGAGCGCCTCGTTGCCTTGAACAATTAATATCTATCAGAGAAAAAGCGCTGAACATCTGAAAGATCATTGGTTAAAATTCCAGAAGACGATGAAACGGAAAGTATATAACGGGCGCCACTAAAGAAACGTAGAATAAACACTCGACACAAGTGACAAAATCTGTGAGTGGGAAAATCTCTAGTTGAAATATTTGAAACCAGAAGAAAGAGAAGGAAAAATGATCGCGGTGAGATCGGTTGAGATTATTTTCGAGATTCACGCGGGGATATAAACTCCGCGGAAATCTTATTGTCATCGACAAAAACTCTTACGATCGAAAAAAAAAAGAGAGAAAAAACATGTGCCGTGCACAGATACGCCGCTTGTTACGTGAACGAGCTTTCGTAACGCAAGTCGATCTGCATTAGCAATCACGCGTTTCAGACGCGGCTCCGATTCTATGCGACTTGTGGAAGACACGTGCTGCGCACAATGATGATTTTATATACAAAAATCTATCTAAGCGAGCGCATGAGACACAACCGGGTATTATCAGTCGCGATGAAAATAGCTCGTTCAATTAAGATGGTTTTCTTATCATCTTGTTACAAAAAATCGCACAAGCGAGCAATGGGCGCACGCGCAACAAAATTTTCCATCTCTGTACAACGTAACGCCCGCGCGGTTGCAAAGTTTTATCGATATCTGCTGGTCGATATTTATTATTGGCTGGAGGGTACATTACTTGTTGCTTCAAGTCAAAGCCGGAGTTTTCTTCCAATTTTTTCTTCAATTTATTCTCTTTACGCTTTATAAATCCCCCTTACAAGGTTTTTCTTTATCTCCATTACGATGAAAAAAAGAATCAATCATATATGAAATGACAGTTTTATAACTAAATCCCTTTTTTGACAGCTTCAAGACGACAAATATCTGTCTGTTCCTGTAGTTACCTTGTTTTTTACCTCTGTGCTTAAAATAAAAAAAATAAAAAAACTTTTTGATCTGCGGAACACGCAGATCATAAAGTGGAAACAAAATAAATAGCGATAATGGGAGAATTTGTTTTTTATATGCGCAGTAGGACATCGCGCACGCGCGCACACTTTCTGACTGATAACGCGTTTATAATGTAGACTTTAACACGTGTTATATAAATTATTGCGAAACTATTGATGGATCGATGAGTAAGCAGCGCGAAGCCGAATGAAGTACGTTAATCGCGTTTAGAACGATGAGATTCACATTAGGGCGCGTGTTTTTATTTTCTCGGACGCGTTAAGCTGAGATTTCACGTATTGTAAACATTTTTTGGTGTCGATTGAATATAAATCTCGTCTAAATAATTTACGGATCTATAATACGGGACGTATTTGAGATATGAAATTTCTCTCTTCTCGCTTTTGTTCGCGAAATGTCATGTCGCAAGCCATTCGTAATCTAAGAGTAATCATCCACGTGTTTCACATTTCCGATGCTACTAAATAGCACCGTTTGTATTTTTAGCGAGTTAATCCCAATCCTCGAAAGAGCCGGAGGGGGAAGAGAGGATGGATTAATTGGAGATGCGGGCGAATGCGTTACAAAATTATCCTGCGTTCGCCAACGATGTTACTCCGTGTGCGTTCATGTTGTCGTTTAATTTAATCCTTTCATCTGGCTGCGAATTAAAACCCGCGCGCCCTTTTTTAACGCTTCGCGAGCGAATGATAAAATAATATCACGCATATAGTATTTCATTTTTTTTTCTCTCTCTCTCTTTCTCTGTATCCCATATACGTGTAACGAGACATTTTATATTTGAGCTGATATTAAGCAAATGATAATTTTATTTAATTGTTTTGCGTGACAAAAATCTGCCAAATCCAGCGCAATATGTTTGTCAGAGATTAAAGAACAAAACGAATCGAGAGACTTGAACAGCGAAAGAGTCAACGTGACCTGCAGTTGTAATGCAATTAGTCTCGCTTCACATTCGCTCTTTTCACTTTGAATGCCATCCTACATCGCGCGATTTGCCTGTATGTTTCATGCGCTCGCGAGAAAGACTTGAGTGAATGTTTTTCACCGGAAAGCAAGCAACGAATAAAAAATGCGGTTCTTTTCACTTTGGACTAAGGGAACACCGAGCGCCCTTTCCTCTATTCTTTTTCCTTATTTTACTCGCTCACGTGGCCAGAGGCCAGTGTGTTTCTGTCGATCTACTTTTCGTAAACTTCATCGCTTTATCTGTGTGTTTTTGATAATAATTTCTGCTGAAAAAGCGAGAAAAATTCATTGCTTAAACAGCGTTATTTTAATAGATGCTCGAGGAGACTCTTGCGAAGAGTTTTTCGAAGAGTTTTTCACGCGTGTGTTTGTTATTTCGGCGCTGAAAAAAAAGAGAGGTAGCATTGCTATGCCACTTGGGCTCGAATCCTTTTCCTTATCCCTCCACGTTTCCTGCTCTCATCTTCTTAGACAATTCGGGCAGACGACCCGGAAGACAACGCTTTAACAATGAGAATTTGTTTTTTGGCGTAATGCAAGAAGAGGTAGCCACCGAAATAGAATTGGTAGACGCAACGGATCCCGGCGAGCACAACGGCGACACCGTCGCAGATCCGGAAGCAGGACTTGCTTCACGAACGATTCCTCTGGACGATTCCACGTCTCAGGCCAATGTTAGTATACGTCTGTAATCGTAATAGAGGGAAAGATGTCGACAGAGTTTATTGTAATAGAAAAAAGAAGGCGCGCAGAAAGTCTCGCGTTTAGAAACAAATAATCTGTCGCTTTCTTAAACAAACGCGTTTCGAATTGCAGTTAAAAAGATTGCGGATTTTGTGTGAATTAATGTACAACCTAAAATTCAATTGCATTGTTTAAAATTCTATATTTTAATATTCTATATTATTTGTTTATATATATATATAATTATTTATTATTTATTATTTGTATTATTTTTTATTGTATTTTTGCGCTTTAAAATTATATTACGACTGAAGAAGTCTCAAGTTAGGGACGAAACGTTTCGTGCTTTTATATGTAAATGAGTTATACTTAATATATACTTTTTATCCTAAATTTTGCTCGATTTGACCGTTTATTTATCTATCTCTTGTTTATATAATTACATGTCTCAAATATAAACAATAATCAAATATAAAAATCGAGACGCTGTCATATACGATTGTGATATATTATTAATCAGATATGAAAAATTTTTACACGCAAAGGATATTTTTTTCGGAATATTTAACTCTTGTATTAAAATTTTATCACACGCACATTGAAACCGTTTTCTATTTCTCAACGGTACATTTTCTTTTACATGGAGAATGTGAAAAGTAAATACTTCGATGTCCACACCATATCACGTTATTGCTACTTATGTTAGGACTCTGTTTTAATGCCGTTAGCCGTTAGTTAGCCCTAATTTACCGCGTGTCCCCGTAGGAGGGATTTTGCGCGGTGATTTCAATGCACGACGGTCTTGTGCTGTACACAACCCCGTCAATATCCAACGCTCTCGGTTATCTCAAAGACGCCTGGATCGATCGGTCCTTTATCGATTACGTGCATCCGAAGGACAAGACTATTCTGGCCGATCAGATTGCCAGCATCGCATCGCAAGAGGAACGATCCAAAGGTATGCAAAAGATTTATATGTAACAATTTTGTGTTACAAGTTACTTTATTTAAACAAATTGTCGTAAACGTTTGTTTGCGTCATCTGTTGACTTTCTTTTTCGTTGGAACTTTTGATTTTATTGGAATATTTTCTTGAAAGGGCATTGCTTGTTGCAGGCATCAACGGTAGAAGAGCGAGCTTGTTCTGCGGTCTGCGCAAGTTCACTAAATGCAACGTGCCGAACGGATACTGCGCCAGGTCGAACCTCTACCTGCCGTTTCACCTGACTCTGTCGTTCCGGGATTTTCGAAACCGGACGGCCGAGCAACAGCCCAGCAATCGGACTATGTTTCTCGTAGTTACCGCTCAACCCGTTCATTCTGCATACAAAGGTAGCATGATCCAAGATCTTCGACGAGGTCCGACTTGCGAGAAGACTCGATAATTACAAAAAAAAATCCAAATTGTTCGCCAAATTGTTTTGTATTTTGCTCGAGTTACTTCACATCAATTATTAACCTTTTTTTCTTCTACTAACATAACAATCGTTAAAAGTGCAACTTATTACTCAAAAACACTTCGTTGAAGTGACTCGAACTTGTACAAGATGTGTATCCGAAATTTCCGCACACACAGTTGCAAAAGTATTTTATTTCGCAAATTCTTGTTCGTTTCGCGCGCGAGAATTGATACGTTTTCGGAAATACGTCATATGCGAGAGAGGATAAATCGAACTGCTCGCAGGATCTCACAATCAGTGATTGAGCCTTGTCATTGGTCCGATCTCGTCGACTTTACAGTGAGTCGGTGGTTTCCATGGAAAACGTCTAAAAAACTTAAGGTAACTTATTTCCAATTTTTCCAAAGTCGTCGCTCACACTCGGTGACTCGATGACGATATGTTGATGATATGCTGTTTGCCGTTCATCTTTGTCGTATTATTGTTATCGTTATTCTGTTTCCTTGTCGTTCTTTCCAATTGATTCCCCGTTCAGTTTGGAGACCACTGTTACGATCACTCGCGAGCAACACGTTGTCAGACTTGCACTCGTCATCTCTCACGGCAAGGTATTCAGCTTTTATATAGAGCTTTCATCGTCATTGCATGCGAAACTTTGAATTTTGGATCACTAATTGCTGCGCATTTCGCACAAGCTTGCGGCCTATAAAACATCTTTTATTTGAATCTGATTCTGATTTTACTTACTTTTTATTCGCAAAAAGAATGCAAAAGAAAACAAGAAGGATAAAGTTTGTTCGCAATTTGTGCGAAGATTTGTGCAAAAAAATTTCACTTAGAGTGTTAGCTTGTGATATTAAAACTAAATAATATTAATTATTATTAGTATTAAAACTAAATAATATTATTATAATATTAATAATTAAACTAAATGATATTAAAACTAAATGAAAAACTGCGGCAAATATTTTTTTTTTTTTTTAAATCGTATCGTTTAACTTAACGTAAAATGGCAATTAACTTTGCATTTTGAATTTTCCGTCGCACATCTCGTCTGAGCTTTTCGGCGCGCCTAACCACATTTCGATAACTAAAAAAAATCTCAAGGTAGCGACGAGAGAGAATGACCCCTTACCTTGTCATTATCCGCAGCGCCAGAAGAAACAATAATATCTTCGGTATTCACGACCCGCCACACAGCGACGTGCTACCTATCCCATGTCGATCCCGATGTAGTCCAATACTTCGGCTATCTACCACAGGATATGATTGGCCGTTCGCTGTTTGACTTCTACCATCCCGAGGATCTGCCCTTCATCAAAGACATCTATGAGACTGTGAGCATGAGTCCAAACAAACAGAAATTTAGGTTCCGGTTGTGTGTGTACGCTGTTGACAAAAAAAAAGAGAGAGAGAGAGAAAGAAAGGGAAGACGAGAGAATGTGAACGAGCGAATGAATGCGATTCTGACGAGGGAAAGATAGGAACAGCCGACATGCCCGCCGACAATCGCGGCCGCAAAATATCACTGACGTAAATGTTTTTTTTGTTATTGAATGTCATTCGAACAGGTGATCAGACTCGAAGGCTTCTCCTTCAGATCGAAGCCGTACAGGTTCGCCGTTCAAAATGGAGACTACGTCATTCTCGAGACCGAGTGGTCGTCCTTTATCAATCCCTGGACGAAAAAACTAGAGTTTGTCGTAGGTCAGCACCGCGTGCTCAAGGGCCCGATGGATCCGGACATCTTTCGCGTGCCGCGCGACAACGAGCGCAGCTACCTCGCCAGCATCAGCGAGGAGGTGTTGAAAGAGGCCAAGATTATTCAAAGCGAGATACGAGCTCTTCTTGACGAGGTACGACTTTCCCTTCCCTCTCCTCCCTCTCTGAAGTGGCCAACGCGCGACGCTTCGTGCACTACCTTCTCTATCTGCAATTCACAATTCTTTGTTTTCTTTGTTATTTGTGATTGTTTTTGATGTTTCCCGATATTTGAAATCCGAAAGAGACACAGCCTGTTGCGCAATCGCTCTTGTATTTTTACAAAAAGCGAAGAGATCTAATTCGATTTATTTCGAAATCCTGTCGCGAAAAAGTAATCAACCGAATTTGCCAAAATATTGGACGGGATTCCATCTTTTCTGAAGGAAGAAAAAAGAGCAAAAGCAAAAGCAAAATAAAATAAAATAAATTAGCACGAGTGGAGTAAACTAGAGCTCGTTTCCCCAACTTGTTCTCTTTTTTTTTCTATCGCACGTGTGCGCAGAGCGTCCAAAGAACGTCAGATATAAACGAGCTCGACGTGTCGAAGCGATGTAAGGACCTAGCGTCCTTCATGGAAAGTCTGCTGCAGGAGACGAAGACGCCCGGCGTCGGCAAGGACGGACCGCTCGCGATGGACGAACTCAGGAGCTTTTCGGTGACTATTAAGCTACGTTTTAGTATCAGCCGAGACACTTACGCTATAAAAAGTTACCACACTTACGCTACGATGCGCTCCGCTCTGGTATGCTCTCTACGAAAAAAACAACTAGTATAACTATATAGACACTTACTTCCCGCACGTAGCAACGCAGCTGTCCACGTTTTCACTTGCGACGTGGAACAACGTGGAAGGTATATTAACTTGTAAAACGTTATTAATTTTACCTGATTCTATTGCGATATGCTTTTCCGGTAGTTCGTTTTTTTGTGAATTTTTTGAATTCTCTAAGAGAGTCGAGAAATGCGCGGCACGAAGAAAGAAAATCCTGGGGCTGTCGTTTGTTACGCCTTTCAACTCGTCTTTTTTTTCTTTTTTCGCGGCTTCATTTTGACATTTTTCTTTCGGTAAATAAACCGCGAAAAACGCCGTCAATGACAAAAACGACATACCGAAAATGCAATCGTGGCGATTATGGACAACTGAGAAAAAAGGAAGTTGCGAGAGAAAAAGAAATTATCGACTCGACATTCTGATGTCACGCCAATTAAAACGCGCGTTGGTTACGTTTCTCTCGAATAATTCTTTTTTTCTTTGCTGATCCGTACGACGAAAACGCATGTCAATCAATAGAATTAAAACAAGCTGGGCTAATCAATGAGACAATAAGTACGACGACACGCGTCTTTAAGAAGCAACCAGAAATTTTCACTCGTCATTCGATTTCTCTTGTAGTCTAGAGTTGTTGTTATTATTATTTAATCTGATAAATATTTAAACGAAGACACAGGCACCGATGCGAGCCCGCAGAAATATTCTCGCTGCTTTCGAACGAGAACGCATGTACGAAATTGTTTTAGAGGAAGGGCTTGGTGGAATCGAGTGGGGACGGCAAAGGTGAGTAAATCTCCCTGGAAAATAGATGGGATGATGCCTTGTGAAGGCGCAATGAGTTCTGATGGGGTTTTTTTAGCTAACAAACTCCGCGCGTATAGACAGCGTAGAAAATACTGTCGCTTCTTTTTAGTTGATTGATAACTTCAAACGCAAGGGGTGGCAAGCAACTCTGTGTGAACAACAATAACGTTAAAAAAATTTTTAATAAAGCATCTACCAATGCTCTTTTGCACGTAGACCCGGACGGAGGGCAATGAGAAAATCGGGTAGGGCCGGTGAAGGATAAAAACGTCAATTTCAAAACCTTGTAGGCACTGGTTGTTTGGTAAGTCTATTTTTTTTTCTACTTTTTTGCTCAAATAACTTGACAACCCCTGGTGATACTCCGGAATTGGGACGGACATCCAACATCAGAATAGACTGGAATTACTCGTCGACGATATCTTTTGTGCGTATCTCCCGGAGAAAAATTAACTTTTCTTTCATCAGTCATTTGTTTTTCTTTCATTTGTTTGTTTTTTTTGATATAAAACAAGCGCATCTTTTCTTTTTAAATCGATGCTAAAACTTTTAAAGATAAAGATTTGAAGAGCGATAGTTCATGTTTACTCTATCTTGTTTTTTTTTTTTTTCAGGAGACTTTTCTCAAGAATCTTTTTTTCCCGAGATTTTTTCTCTTTATTAATTAACGCAATATTAAACGTCGTCAATACTTCTATTCTTCTCTTCTTCGCGATGCGATACATTTTTCTAAATGCCAGTTTTTATATCTTCGTCTAATAGAAAATGGTATATCGTATTTGTAACATTCAACCCGGTAGAAACATTTTTTCCCTTACAAGGTTTTGAAACTAACAGGAATGAGAGCACGGAATATGAAGGAGAGATGAAAAACACAGGTTGAATGTGCGTATGATTACCGAATGTATTTGTTTTCATAAAAATTTGATGTCTACAATATTCTTGTAACAAAGTTAAAGTTTTTTAAATTGCATTTATAATCTCTGATAAATATTCTCTGTTTACGTATTTTTTTAATTTATTAGTTTCCATAGTTTTTTAAATTAATTAATTTTTTTTATCGATACATACAATATTTATAATTTTAAATATTTCATGTGAAATACAGAGAATTTTTTTTGAGAGTAATGACAATGACGAGATGACGATGGCAATATAATAAAAAAAAAGAAGAAGAAATGAAACATACGCGTAATCTGCAAAAATCGAAACGTCTCACACAGAAAACCGACACAATATCGATTGTAGTTTATATTTTTTACATATTTTTTACACTGTGAAACGCACAAGAGTTGCACGACAATCGCAATTACGTAAGACAACGCATTTATACACTGAGTTTTCGCAACGCGATATAAAATGGAAAAGTAAACTCACAGCCGTGATATTCCACGGTTTTCCGATCGATCGATGATTTGACCTAGAAACCAGGAGGAGAGCAAGAAAATCCGACGTGCAACAGGGGGCATACGACCCGGATGGTGGTGGTGGTGCTCGCATGATCGAACGATCGATTGTATATAGTTTCTCGATGTAAATAAATACCTAATATCCCGCAATATATCCCTGCACGCAGGCGGAGCGCAAGAGCTTGCGCCGCAAGTGGCGGTTTAATAGGTGATTTAATTTAGGAAGACGAGGGTCTTTTTAAAAAAAGTTCTCTCTCTTTCTCTCTCTTTCTCTAACCACAAGACTGTTCTTCGCCAGGGCTGCCGACTCATCCATCGCTCACGCAAAAAAAAAAAAAGCAAACATACTGACTACTGACCACGATAACGACGTTAAGATGCATACCAATATTCAGTTACAACTCATACTAAGTCTTTACAATGTACTTGCGAAGGGATCACGCAATCCCTTGTTGCAGGAGCACGACAGCGTGATGTTCGGTGAGATCTCGCCCCATCACGAGTACTACGACAGCAAGTCCTCCACGGAGACGCCGCCGAGTTACAATCAGCTCAACTATAACGAGAACATCGAGCGTTTCTTCAAGAGCAAGCCGCTGGTCGCTACTATGTACGGTAGCGACGAGGAAAACGTCAATTCCAGTAACGACGAAGGCGGTAAGCGTGAGCTTTTTTAGCATTTTTCTTCTCTCGCCAACAGGAATGCAATACATCCCGACGTCCTAAAAAAAAGAAAGCAAGATATTTAAAAAAAAAAAAACTCTTCTATCTTCTTTCAATGATAAAATTAAAAAAAAAAACCACGTCTGTAGTACGTATAAAGAATATATTAACAATTGTGGTTTATCTTTTGACGTATAGAAAATCATCTTATTCTACAATTTTCATGTACAATTTTCGTGTACATCTGATGATCAAGTTCAGCGAAGATGATCGGACGTGTTTTCAGCGAGGAAATGCATGTCACCGATAAACGGGAGCGGCGCGAGCGGGAGCGGTAGCGCGGAGAACCTGAGCAGCGGGTCGAACAATCAGATGAGCTCGGCAAGTCGAGGTGACGCGCCGTCCAACACCGCTAGCAACAGCAACACCACCGCGACGGAGAGCTTCAAACTGCCCACGCTGACCGAATCGTTGCTGAATCGCCACAACGAGGACATGGAGAAGCTGATGATGCAGAAACACCGCGAGCTGCGCTCCAGCATCAAGAACAGCGACAAGCTGAAGGATCCGCGCATCAAAACGGATAAGGTCAACGGGACGAATCAGAACGCTCATTATGTCAATCAGGGTCACGGGATCAAGAGGAGCGGCAGTCGCAGCTGGGAGGATGACAGCTTCAAGGTGTGTTTCAAAAGGATCTTTTCTCTGAAAAAATATTAGATTGAAAATGTCTAAATTTTTGATGAAATTGCGGAAATATAGATATCGAAGCACGACAAAATCTCGAGGACAAGCACAGCGGGTCCGGCGAACGTCACAACCACCGTCGCGAGCATGAGCGTCGATCAATCGACCGTGGTCCAGACGGGTGCGAATATCAATCTGTGGCCACCGCTCGCGTCGGTCACTGTGCCCTCTTCCACGCCTTCTCAACCTTGCGTTCCGTCCCAGAGGTATACATGGTCTTCTATTCTTAATATACATTAGAAATGTTACACATATTTTACATAAAACAAAAGAAAAATAAAGAAACATACGTGTCACAACTCTCCTCCGTGAGAAGACGTAGATTTATGAATTTAAATGTATTATATACTTGTGTGCGCACGTTTCAGTACTAATTCGGGAGTACCTAGATTTCCGTTATTCCCGTCGATGATACCAATTTATTACGTGCCGGTGCCTCAACCCAACGAGTCCGCGACCATGATATCGCCGTCCCAGGAGAAGCTTAGTTCGTCGACTCAACCGACGCCGCCAAATCCTTACAGTACGTATCTCATTTGAGTGTAAAAACACAAATGAGAAAAAAATCTAACTTTAAAAATTAAAGAAAGAAATTTAGGAAGTTGGATAGCAAAGAGTAGAATTCTTTATAAATAGCCGTAAAAGAATTTGTGGAATTGAAAGTGTTTGTTCCAGTGTCTTATGTCGCGACAGCGATGGCCGGAATGATTTATCCGACAATAATCGGCGCTCCACCGCCCCGTGCGATGATGTATCAACCCTTTCTGATACCTGAGCAAGCATCGGCGGTAAATGCGACGGCTCGCGAGAATCAGCAGCTGTCCAATGACAAGTGTCCGGATCACAAACGACCGGCCAGTCAAGCAACCAGCATCAAAGCCGAGCCAGGAAGCATAATGGCTATGTCCGAGTCTTCTAAAAAAGTAAGACAAATTATTGAGACGCCTTTCTCTCGCATGTTAATTATGAGCCAATTTTATATACATCAATAGGTTCTCTCACCGGACGAATTGTTCTCTTCGTGTGTGAGCAACGACGGCGGCTGTTCGAGCGTGATAGATCTTCTCACGCCGGTGATCAAGAAGGAGCATCGTCGACCGAACGATTACAACGGGGATGAGTCGAGCTCGTCCAGCTTCTACAGTAGTTTCCTATACAAGAGCAGCGACAGCAGCAATCCGGATCAGAAGACATGCGAGGTCTCTTCCGAGGTAGATAATTAAATTCGTTGTCTCAGTGCATCTCCACGATCACGATCGATAAATATGATAAATGATGTGTAGGATCACACCAAGTGTCAGCAAGGGATGCGTAGAAAGGATCCGCCCTGGCTGGAGGATGTACATTTGACACCGGAACTGATTTACGAGTACCAGATGGATTCAAAAACGTTGAGCGAAGTGTTAAAAGCCGATATGAACGCGATGAAAAAATTCAACCAGCCGTTATTAGTGAATGATCAGTTGGCGCAACTCTATCTCGACCTGGAGATGGAAGGTTTCGGTACGGAACTCGTCCTCGAAGATGGGATCACGTCGAGCGGAAGCGACAGCGGGAGCAGCAACGGAAGTTGGACCGAGTCTCAGGTGAGAAAAAAGTGATTAGAGCAAGAATTATATTCTTGGTATTTTACATTTTTACTTGACACAACTTGTTTCTGATTTTGGACAGCGTAAGCAAAAAAGAAGAATGGTGAAGTACGGTAAGCTCGTGATGATTCATGACGAGAACGCGCCTTTGCCGCCACCGCTACCGTCTCAGACGCCTGTACCCTGTCGACACTCATAGGAAATTGTGGTCGATTTGCCGCGAACGAGTGCAAAACACTTTCGAGATCAATATTCGTTTCATTACTCTTGCATTCGTTTCATTAATCTCAGATGTGCTCAACATATTTTTTTTTAATTTTTACTCACATCGTATTCTACTCTTCTTTTGTTTAGGGTATATTATCTCACCTTCGAAGCGAGTGAAATCAGTGAAAGAAACTTTTGTCCGGGATTAGTGGTAATTTTTTATTTCTTGTGTAAAATAAAACGTTTATATATTTTTACTTCCTACAATCGTCAATAAGTTAATTTTGAGCGTAAATCACCGAAGAGAGACAGAGAAGTCTTCTCTTCTTTCGCTCTTTTATTAATTGCTTTTATAGTTACGATTTTGAAAATATAAGTGTATAGTTTTAAACTAGCATGTGTTTATAATAGATATATATATATATATATATTAAAATAAATATAACATAATACCAATTAAATTTATTAATCAACGTGTATATAAACAACGAATGAAATGCACTCGGTAGGTTAACTGGTTTTTGTATCTTTTTTACGAAATATATATATAATTAATTTCTATCTAAAGAAGAAATAATATAAGAGAGAAAGAATGATTATCGGAACGATCCGAATTGGGTTGTCAAAATAAAATTTGTCGAGGAGAAATTTTCTGGACATAGATTTTTCTGACATTGCCTTATCTAAAGCATCGAGTTCGAGCGCGACACTTTTCAAATTTAGAGTACAAAGAAAATGACACACGCATTTTTCGCTCGCCCGACATACACAAGTATACATACACAAATTGTTTTAACGTTCAACGTTCGCATTGTACACTTGTTTTTGTATACACTATTACATTTGTAAATATGTATTATAACAATTGATTGGGAACCACATTTCTACGGAGATATATATGCACAGAGTAAAAAAAAATACTTTTGATAGAATAATTCTTCTGTTTTCTATTGTAATTTTTTCGATGCTCTTTTTGGAACATTTGTCACACGCGAAAATGTATTTTTCTGACTTTGAAGCACTGTATAAAAACATCAACATCCGATATATTTACGTCTTGCTTAGAAAATAGCCGAAGTTAATAAATTATGCGCGATCGTGCATTTCATTCGAGATACGTACAATTATTAAGTAATGAAAAGGTCGTTAAGTACAAGAAACTTGACAAATATATATATATATTGTACAATATATATGTATATACATTTATCAAGTTTCTCATATTTAATGATCCAATATCATTTGTAGTTTCTATTTAAAATAAATTCGATAAGTGCATCTTAATTGTGTAACGAGGAAAATAGAACACGCGATGACTAATATAATTAGATAAATTTAAGCTTGTATATCACGTGTTTAGAAAATAATGATCCACGTGAGAGATACCAGCCGGACTTCGCTTTACGTAACTAAAACACTTCGAGTTATATATAATAATACAATAGGTCACTTTTTTAGAGCTAAATTAAATGTATACAAAATTACATGTAACCATTAAACTGCTAAACAGTAAGCGAATTTCTTTAATTAAGAGCATTTCTTTAATTAAGTTTTTAATTGAGTAAAACGTGATCCATTGCAACGTTATTCAACATTTCAACTATTTTGTTTAGATTTGCAATTTCCTTAGATGTTTGCACTTTTTAATTTTTAATTTGTTAATTTTCTAAAGTTTTTTTTATACATTAATTTAACTCTAAAAGACCTGTTGCATTATATATTTTTGCTAAGCAAGTGGAGCATTGAATTTAGGATTTGTAATATCAAGTGATTGCAATTGGAATTTGTATTGTTTGATAGAAATCTATTTCAGAACCTTTTGGACCAGCAAATTACCTCGGATATTGTAAAAGGAATCTGAATGTTAATGATACTAAGTATAGTAAATACTACAAATCAAAAGCAAAGAATAAGATATTTTATATACTACGTTATTTGCATATACACACACATATGTGTATATATATATATGTGTGTATATATATGTCGTACCACGTACGGTGCTTGACATGCAGATTCCATTGCGTATACGATATCGTTATAAGAAGCAAGATATTTTATATACTATGGTGATTTAGCGGATCGAGATCTCCAAAACATTCGAAATCTAGTCTGAACTTTAAATTTTTTAAATTTTTTAGATCTGTGTGTGTGTGCGTGTGTTGCTCTTGTATGCATTTTCACATGACAACTATTTTCTATATGAAATCCTGCGTAGCGACTGTTCCTCAGTGAGAAAAAAAATAAAACGAAAGATTAGCGAAGCTGGATTTTAGCGATCTTTCCTACATGATATATCCAAGGTATACTCTATGCATGTTTTGTAACAGCAAAAGTGTGCAGGAAATTAAATTATTTAATTTCAATGTGATGCACAGTCAAAATTAATTTTTTATACAAATTATACATGTATATATATGTCTTTATACATATATTTAGTCATATCTTTTTTGAACAATATATATTTCTTAAACAATATATTTTTCTTAAAATTAGATATGATAAATATTGACAAATATTTATATAAAATATATATGTAGAATGTGAATTAAAATCCAGCCTGCGAGGTTTTCTTAATTACGTAGCTGAAGGCGATCGACTGCGCCTGCACAAATCTTGTGATCTCCTCACCGAGAAATGATCATCCTATTCGAAACTATAATTAAGCGAAACTATAATTAATTTTTCACGAGTGTGGATGATGATTCGAAGCACTAGTAAATCGTAAAACTTATTATCGTAGCGTGTAAGGCATTTGTAATCCGTCGAATTTCAACACTTATTAGAGATTCAAAATTTTATTCACAAAAAGCTGAAAGATTGAACGAAATAACACATATGACGACATATGAGAACAAGCGTCTGGAGAAACTCTTTTCTATTTTAAAGAACACTCTTTGTTCATCCAGTTCTTTTTGGCGTAGCGTGCTCCCTTTTTTAATTCTGTCGGTTATTATTATTATAATATTGATACAATTTTTTCAATGAAATATATATTATTCATAAAATACAAATGTTTTCTTGAAACATGTTGTCTTTTATCACATAAAGTACAATGAATAAATTGTCAAAAAACTTCTCTCCCCTCGGTATCTTTATTAAGTCGATTGTTCACAACTAATACATTTGTTTCAGATCTACAAGTTGTGTATATTCACAAATGTTTTTCTTTCTATTAGTTTATTTATTACTATTGCTTTAAATTTCCATGATATTTTGTTAGATATATACTCTTCTACACAGGCAGCTTTAATTTAGTTTGTATCTTCGACAAACTATCTTAATTGTAAACTATGTATTATAAGTTTTTTAAGATAATTTAGGATAATTCTTTCCGCACTTATGTGCAGAATTCACTTTTTCGATGTAATTTGACGTGTATATTTTTACACATTGCGTTTATGTGTGAAATATATTACATATACGAAGTATTGTAATGTTCAATAAGAAACTTCTTTTTAATCGTACGTTAAACGATAAATTATAAAAATAAATAAAAAAAAGAAATAATTTTTTAATAAATTCCCATTTGTAAAAAAGTGTTAATATCTTATGCATGTATTATACATGTTATCTTATATATATATGTTTATATTTATTATATACACGTGTTTATTGCGCTACGTGTGTAGACACATAACTCTTTGACGATGATGATGTATGAACATATAATGACGTTTCAGAGCAGACGTTAATATACGTTCATAAATGTTCAAATTTTCGACAAACACATATTATATTATCTTATTCTCATCGCGAGAAGAGTATTACATGTATCTTATAAAAATACTGTTTCTGTCTGTTTTCACAGTAAATAAAAACTTTTATATATATATATATTATAATTATTATAATTTTCTTCCCAATTAAAATTATTTAATATTTTATTTACTAAAATTCTATTCTTACCGCTACACATCTATTCTGTATTGTGATATATTCTCTTTACAATATTTATTTTTACTTGTATCTCGCGCGTTATTATAAAACTTGTATATCTTTGTATATTTATATAGATTATGTATTCGATATTTTGATGAGGTTTGTGCGGGATTAGAAGGAAAGATGAATTTTATCACATTGTGGTAAGTTATTGAATAAATTCCAAGGCCAGTGAATAAATTTTTTTATTGTACTAATGCGTGACTCTCATCAAGACTATGTATATATGTATATACATACATATACATATATATACATATAGACACACACACATATGTATATACATATAGACACATACATACATGTATGATATAATATGGAGACTGCGTTCGGGGAGCTCGCTGTCTGCGCTATTGTCTCATTTCTATCTTTGTTTTACATCCGATAAAGATAAAATGAGACAATAACGTAGATAACGCGCTTCCTCCCGAACGCAACCAGATACATATGTATATACGTAAATCACAATAGCGAATTTACACGCAGCAAAGAGGCGTTAATACAGCAAATATATATCTACGGCACAAATAAAGTGGTTTTTACGTATTTTGTATTAATGTAAAATATATAAATGTAAATCAATTACGTATTCGTTGTGTTTCGAATAAATGCTCAGAATAGAGTGCGCGTTATTATTATTATTGCAACATTCGTTGACGAATATACATACACAATCTCTAACGCGCGATATGTGGCACATTTGTAAAAAAATAACTCTCTCAGATCTTACTCCGTAAAATAATAAATATAGGCAAGAGAAAAAAATTCTAAACGTAGAAATAAAAATAAAGAGAAATAAAAATAATAATAACAGTAGTAAACAAAAGCGAGGAACTAACATTTTCTGTTTGCTCGCTAATTGCACGCTGCCCGTATCAACGTGAAGCGTTGTTTGTACACGGGAAACTTTGTGACTTAAAGAAAATATAAATAATTGTACACACGTCTAAACCACAAAAGTCTACTCGAAATACATTGAAATTTAAAATTACGTATATATTGTTGCACAAAAAGTAAAGTACAACAGAATTATAAATGAACTTTTGCGGATTGAACGTGCAGAAAATCTCACACGAGTAGAAAATGAAGTTAGTCGTCCCGAAGAAGACTCAACGGATCCTCGACGATTTTTTCTGCTGTCTTTTTCAGATCTCTAGTAACAGCTTTCTTCACGGTCGGTCTTGAATTTGAGACTGTCGTTGTCTTCACTTTCGAATTGTCTGTAGAAGACTGCTTGCCGAAAATATGGCCATCGTCGTCATCGTCATCCGACATAAACAGGGACTTGGACGACGTAGCGACTTTCTTAGGAACAATTTTTTTCGTAGCGAAAAGATCGATATCGTCGTCGTCGCAAGGCGCATCACCGAAGATATCCTTCAGATTTGAGCCCTTGGTACGAGAATCGGCGAGATGCTCTTGCTTCGGTTCCGAGAACGACGCGCTGTCCGATTTCTGCGACTGACCGGACGACTCGACGAACAGACTGGAATCGTCGTCGTCGTCGTCGTCGTCGAAGATGTTTTTTCTTCGATTAGATTGAGCGGAATTTGATTTTTGACCATCCGTTTTTGCTCTGCCGAACACGCTGCTGCCAAACAAACTGTCATCTTCGTCATTCTGCGCGCCGTTGTTGTCGCCGAACAAACCGATCTTTGTGTCTCGCAGCGGCTTCTTTACCGTTTTCTTCAATGGCGCGGAGAATAGATCGCCGCCCGCGTCTTCATCGTCCGCGAACAGGTCGAGAATCTCCTTCTTTTTCGGTTCGCTCATTGCGAACCTTTTCGCCGAGCCACTGGAGAATAGACTGTCGTCAGGATCGGCGAATAACAATCCCTTGCTCTTTTCCGGTGATGGCGTTTTTGTGACGAACGCGAACAGCTGACTAGGATCTTTTAACGGATCGTGTTTGCTGTCGCGAAGAGGATCAGTCGGTTCTTCATTAGCCTCTCCTTTTGCTTCATCCTGTTCATCGTCCTCCACATGTTCATCATTCTTTTTAGTATTATTTGCTGTATCCGACTTGGTACTGACGTCTAATCGCGTCATATCGCTCGACTCTTCATCAGTTTTGTTGCTCGACGCGTTTACATCATCGGTCTTACCGATGATCGCATTATCCACGACGAGAGACTCGGCAGCGACAGACGTTCGATCAGACTGTTCGCCATCGATTGGTGAAAGTATCGGTGCTCTGCCAAACAACGCGTCCTCCTTCTGTGGATCCTCCGGCAAGTCTGGCGGCACGTCAAACAAGTCTTCCTCGTCAGTGGACGGCGACAACAAGGTATTCTTGTTCACGCTCATGGAACTCTCCTTGCTGATGCTACCCAACTCGGATTTGTCTTCTGTGGATGAAGGATCGATGATCGAGCGCTGAGTTTTGTCGTTTGCCGTCAAACGATCCGCAACGTTGATTGCCGGAGCGGCGGAGTCCTTGCTGGACGAAAAAGTGCTGGTGTGACTTTCCTCCTGGGAGTTGTCGTTGTCCGCGTTATCGACCGTGTCGAAATCAATGCCGCTCTGTCGCAACGCCGACTTCCGAGCGTGCCGGCTCTGAGGACGGCGTTTTGCCTGGATCCTTACACGACTCTGAAAAAACATTTGAACACAAATGTGCGTGAGAAAAAAGAATAAATGAATTATTCAAACTGCAAGAACAAATCAATCACCTTGGACGCAGTGGTGGATAACGTTTCCACTTGAGCCAGATCGTCAAAGTTTATGGTTACTTCCGCATTGTTAGCAGCAGAGACCGTCGAATTTGAAGAGTCTTTGCGCGTGCTGTCTTCTAAAACAAGAACTTTTTACGTATAACGTCGTGTCTTTTTGCATTGAAATTTGCTCGTAAATATAAGTCTTCTTGAAGACGATAATTACCTGACACACTAAGAGGCGAAGCTCTATCCTCATCTTCGTCCGTTTTCTCTTCACTCTTCCTCCAAGATGGCGGCGCATCCAACGGCGAGAGTATCTTCAGATCGCCCATCTTTCCCATCAAATTCTTTATCTTACCGGATACCGTTCTTCGCGGCGCTTGTTGACTCTGTTCTTCAAAAGACGGCGAAGAACTCGTTCGAAGGCTCAGCGTTTTTGGTGGCGAACTCTTCTTCATTACATCGTCCGCTTCTTGGACTGCTTTGTTGGAGACTGTTTTTTCAGGTTCAGCTTTGCTGTTATCTTTGTTTACGTTACTCTCAATGGCCATCTCTGTCGACTCTGCAGTCGGCTTCATGTCGCGACTCAAGCTCGAAGACTCCGTCGAGTTCTTCTTATTTTCTTCAGGAAGTTCTTGCGCCTGTTCGACAATGTTCTTCTGAGATTCTTTGGGTTTGGACGTCGAGCGATCGTTTCCGCGTGGAGTTGTATCTTTTTTACCGAATAAATCATCATAATCGTCATCCTCGAATAAAAGACCGTGATTCCTTGGAGTCTTCGAGAACAATCCGCCGTCCGGAGAATCATCTTCATTCCCAACTTGAAGATTGGAAACGTTTTTCAAAACGTCGGTCTTCGGTTCATCCAATACGTCTTTGTCTACCGACGGAAGTTCCTTCTTGCTCGCTTTGGATGATAAAAACAAGTCGTCTTTGTCCTCAAAAAAATTACTTATGTTTCGATCGTTTTTCGATTTTGTTGGTTTCGCGCTGAATAAATCGCCGTCGTCGCCATCGTCATCGTCGAACAGATTGATCTTCTTGGACTCTATTCTCGTGTCGGTTTTACTGCTCTTCGAATCCCGACCACGATTATCAAACAGATTATCCGAGGCCACGGCGTTTGTCGACTTCGGTTTCGTTGTTACGCCGAATATATCAATGTCCGGAGCGTCCTTGCTGTCGAATATGTTCACATTGTCGTCGAACAGGCCGCCACCGGTTTTTGAAACCGACTTCGTTTTGTCATTCGACAACAGTGCGGAAGAAAAGAAATCCGTGCTCTTCTGCGATCTGGAGCCGGAACTCGCGGTGGAGAAGAGCTCGTCGCCGGAATCGGAGTCGTCGAAGAGCGACGAGATCTTGGACTTGGCTGCTCGCTTCGAGTCCGACTTGGAAGGTAACGGCGGTGGTCCGAACAGATCGTCGTTCTCAAACACGTCGTCCTGCAGCGCCGAAGAAATATTTTGCTGCTGCTGCTGCTGCTGCTGCTGTTGTTGTTGTTGCTGCTGTTGATCGTTAGTGTTGGCATTCGCTGAGTTGATGTTAGGAGTATGGCGTGTGCGCACCGAGAAGAGGCTGTCACTGTTAACGTGCTCGCGATAGATCTCCTCGGAATTAAGTCTCGTCGAAGTCATCTCTGGCTGAAAGTTCCTGAGGAAAAAAATTCGAGAGATAAACTAACAGTGTGCGTAAAAATAAATGTTTTTATGTACTTACTTTTACATAATATACAAAAAAAACGCAAGAATTTGTTTTTTGTTTTTTTTCTTTAATCCAATATTGATCGAGATTAAAAAGAAGTCGATTGATTGAGTCGTTATTGAATATAAATAAAGATATAAAAAATATAAAGATTTTCAAGCTTGCAACATGATATAAAGGTCGTCTTAGTTTTTGCGTAACACGGGGTGTCTCTTGATATACTTTATCTTTGTGGTGTAACAAATTATACTTTATCTTTGTGGTATAGAAAACTCTAATATTAATGTACATGTACAACTTTGCAATACTCTCTGCCGAGTTGCATACGAAAAATAAATGCTGTGATGCTCGAATTAATCGAGATCCTTTCACACGATAACGTTAAAATAGTATATTATATTTTAGAATGGAGTTTTCTTCTTATATTGCTCATTATAAGTTTTTTAATCGCTCGTTGAATGTCGCATTTTTTCGTCACAATTGCGATTTTCACTCGCGACTTTTATGCGCGATAGAACACAAAAACACAAGTACATAAGTGTAACACTTCTGATAAGTCTTCACTTTCCTATTAATTCCTTCGAGGGAGAACGAAGAACGCGCGGTGCTTCTGGCACGATCCGGCACGTTAACGCAAATAAACGCTACTTTCGCTCGAATCCGCGTTCGCCTGACCGATTTTCATTACTTACTATTCTGCTTGTCCGTCATTTCTCCACAAGTCGGTGGAAAATTTATATAGTGAAAAAAAAAAAAAAAAAACAACGTTCCGAAGTGAACGTACGTTTATTCGCAAAAAAATTAATTAGTTAACGAATTAATTAGTCACACAATCTTTTAATTGTCTACATTTTTCACTTCCAATTGTTAAAGATAAAATTCTGATTTTACGTTCGTAAAGATGCGATAATAGAAATGATAAGAAATTTTGATATTTCCCAACTGTGTTGTCTTTTTAAATTACTTTAAACAATGATCAACATTGCGAAATACAGTTTTTGCATTTGAGATCGTTATCTTCTGAAATCAAATAGTTGAAACAACTCGCGGATGAGAGTTAACAACCGGCGCGAGCAACACATTCGGTCGTACTGAAGAAGCTCGCCTTGGACTCGTGTGCGTGTTCACTTAACGCACGGCGTAATGGGCAAGGCGAGTAGTGACTAATGTTTTGGGTCACATCGATTCAACGACATCCGTAAGTATTTGGCACGCGCCATCGCTTGGCGCGAGAGAAAAATTTCTAGCACAAAACATCTATCCAAGAATGTAAACAAAACAAAAACAAATTCAGAGAGACAGGTAAAATATTGTCGTGCCTTTCGAAAATGAAGCGACTCGAGAGTGCGGAAGGTTTGTCGACGACAGCGCGAGAAGAGATGATTCTCATTTGCATTTTGGAGATGATGTTAGCATCCGCGCGCGGAGACCGCGAATGCGCAATAAAGTCGCGATATCTTTGTTTAGACGCTGACCTCGGGATGTTAGTATTGTATGTCATCAGATATACGTTTCCATGTATCCGTTCGCGGAGTGTGACTTTTAATAGTCTGCAAGTTATTTAATATTCAGAAGCGTTTGATGTCTCCTTTAACATGCGCGACAGTCTGTGCATTGCAATTTAACGAGCAATTAAATATCTCCGATTTCATTGGAAATTCGAGACAAACTTTTATTGTGATAATGATGTAACGCAATGTTTTTTTTTTTTTTTTT